AAGTAGGTCTAAAGCATTTGCGAAAAACAACAATCAGAACCAGGCTCCTAAGGCTGTGAGAGGAAGAGGACCTAGGAGGTATGGACCTACCATGAAAAACAGCAGTCAGGCACCTCCTACACTGAACAAACCGTGAGTATTAATATGCATTTTTTTTCTTAAATTTTCTATCTGTTCCTACCATGATTAAGTTTGCATGATTTTGAATGAGTTAAATATTTCAGTTTTAGAAAGCCTCTTCAGGGAACTTCACAAGCCAATTCAAATAGAGCTTTCACACCTGCAACAAATGCAGACACAGCATCACTTCCTGCTAGGAAACATATTTTTGCCTCAAGCTTGAGTTCTGCTTCCCCACCCTTTTATCCATCAGGGTCTTCCAACAAAGACATTACTTTGACTCAGAAGAAGGATATGCAAGCTGGAAGCGTGAGCAGGAATCTTCCCCCTTCTGTTACAGATGAGAATTTTTCTGTGTCGCAATCAAATTCATTGCGAGGGAAGAATGTACTTGATTCTCTCAGCATGGCAAAGCTTTATATAGATGATTCCAGCACGTCAGCTTCTGTGAAGCCTTTGACCAATGTGCAAATGCTGCGTTCTGGATCTTCATTGGATAATAGTAATACTAGTCAACCCTCTCAGTCCAGGCTACAGGCTAGAGGTGTAGCTATCCCAGGACCAAAGGCTTATCAGCCAGCTCCACATCAGAACAAAGTCAATAGAGTTTCTCTACCAACACAGGTCAATGCTATTCGGAGAAATCCTGTTCAAGGTAGGTCTCACTATTCTGTACGAGCAGCTTCTCAGCAGTTGGGCCAGCATCCTGGTATTGGGTCTCAAGCTTCCTCTCCACCAAAAACATCTACGTCAGTTAGTTCCTATGTGTCTGGAGAGGTTGAATCTTCAGAAACAACTAAATCCAAGGGTGCATTGGTAAGCAAGGGTAAAAACAGTGTTCAAGGAGCTGGAAGGGGCTCTTTTCTGTATGGTGGAGCTCAGATTATGGGAGCTACAAGAAATATGGCTGTCGGCCATGGTAAAGCTTTTCCCATTTATAATTCTTTAGTTTATTTGGATAACATAATCTACTATAAAAGGTAAAATGTAAAATGTAAAATGGGGGAAATCGCCTTACCTGGAACAGTGCATACTAAATCCTGGGGCCCTTTTTTTAACTTTTTGTATGGATTAAATTAAATGTTTTAGTAAATATTAGATTTAATTTTCATCTGAATTCTTTTATGGCCTTTTGGCTAAGATCAGATGGAGTTTTAATTCCTGGAATGTAGTTTGTTTTGATTAGGAATATACTTTTTTCTGGCTTGGCTAGAGGTTGGAGTTTGTTTGAGTTTGATTCTTTTGGGTGTTAGGGAAGAACTTTTATCTTCTGAGTTGCTTAGATTCATTATATTATTCTATATTTTCTCTTGGACATTTCTTTGCTTTCCCAATTCCTGGCATTAAACTTTTATAATTTTTTAATCGTTTTTTTTTTTTCCTGAATGCATGCAGTTATGCAATTTGGGGGCCAGCACCCTGGTGGCCTTAGCGTTCCTGCTGTTGGCATGGCATTTCCTGGATATGTTGCCCAGCCGCAACTTGGTACAGGAAATTCCGAAATGACATGGTACAATAATTCTTTCCCTGTAAAAAAGTTTTTTCTTGGATTACATCTGCTTTCCAATGAGAAGTGAGAGTGATGTCTCGATCAGTTCTGTAAAAGGCCAATTGATTTTCTTATGGAGTAAGTTACCTCTCCATAATTAAACATAACTTATGAGTTATGAGTCAGCTTTTCAGACTCCACATAGTTTCCAGATAAGCCTTTCATGGCTAATCTCCAATTTGCTACTCATTGTGGCAGTAGTGAAATGGTAATGTAGGAATAACTTTTAGCTTGAACATTTATTTGACTATCAATGCAATGCTAAATCTCTCTCTTGATCACCTGTTTATTTGGATTTATTCATCTGTTTAAGCCAAAAACACTAATGATTTTCATGTTTATGTTTAGGCTACCAGTACTGACAGGTCCTGCTGGGGCTTTAAGGGCAACGTATTGTCCACCTTATATCGCTGTTGATGGGGCTTATCATGCTCGTTCATCGGGACAGACATCTTCAACAGGATCCTCAAGGTTAGTAGCATGGTTTTGGTATCCTTCAACCTGTTTGGTTTAAATAGCCTTGATTGTCATTGTTTTCCTTCTGCTTGCCAGGGTGGGTAGGGAAACATTAACTTCCTCATTAGTCTTGGAAACTGGAAGCATTCAGTATTTGCCTCTTTTTTAGTGTTGAAGGTTAACATCTGGTTGGAATTTCTTTGCAAGAAACCCGTTTAATCCATATTAACACATGGTTAAGCTGAGTTGAATGAGTTTAGTTATATACACAGTTCTGTTTATTCAATCTTGGCTATATCTTCGACTTTATAGGAATCCAATTAATATATTTGGTGTGAAAGCCAAGTCTTTTGGGGGATACTAGTATGATTGGTTTACATAGAATAATTGCCCTTTTACATTGATTAACTTTAGATAGAAAATAATTGTTGAAAGATGTTTTAAAAGAGTCTAAAGGTTTGATGTTCTTTCTTTTTTTTATCTCTATAATGGCCTACTGGTATCTCCCTTCTTATTGCAATGTTTTTATTGGGAGATTGTTTGATGATCAAAGTCTTACACCCTTAGAGATAGATGTCTGATAATTGATCTTAAGGACAATGTCTAGCACTTTTTCTTCTCTACATGCTTAGCTGTTCGTGTGTGTGTGTGTGTGTGTGTGTGTGTGTGTGAGAGAGAGAGAGAGAGAGAGAGACCAAAAAACTAGTGAATCTAAGATGACAGATATTGCATCTGGTTTTGTTTTATTCTATTTATAAGTTACAACAAGTAGTTATTGTTGTTGCTTGGTGATTGTTTTAGTAATATTTAATCACCCTTCCTTTGCAGCAAAGAAAATACTTCTAACAAACCAAATAATGAATGGAGGCCTTCCCAAAGACCTGGTAAGCAATGATCTTGGTTTTATCTTAGATTTGGTGGACTTATGGACATAGACCTTTCCCATTTCTTATATTTTGGTTGTTAAACAACTTGTATCCTATGCAGAGCTTGTGAGTGATGAATTTGGGCAACGACAAAGTAACCCAAATAAGCAGCCTCGCAGGTAAGTTGAAACTCCTAAGTTATATGTAAGCAATGGGAGGTGAAATTTTTCAGTCTGTTTCTGTCATCTACTATATCTAAGCATCATGATTTATTTTATCCTTCATTTCCATGCAGATATTCAGAGATGAGCTTTACCAAGTAATTTACTTATTTAAGATGGAGCCTGTCCCAATTAACTGATAAAGGTTAAAATTTAGCAATGAAACTTTTTATTATCTTTATGGATATTTGGAGTTTCTTATTTGTGAATTACTCGATGGTGCAGGCCTTTCTTCCAGGCCCTTTGTGATCTCCAGCTTTTGACCTGGACCACTTTGGGCGGCAATTTGTTTCAGGATATTGTAGGTAAATCATGCATCTGCCCTAGTTAATGCCTGCTTAAGCTGTTTGGAATTTAAAAATTCTCCTTTCTTTTAGAAGAAAGTTATTACTTATTAGTTCCGTGGCAATTGTCTCATGTCCAAAAAGTAAAACAGAGCATCAGTAACAATGCAGTTTATATGCCTGCGCTTTCCCTCCATCCTCTCCCCCTAATGAGACATTGGAAATTTCTTTTGTAATTACAGGCACATGTGAAAAAGTTCAAGGTCATAAGCAATAAAGACATAATTTATGTGGTTTAATGTTGGTGGCATTTTAGAGACTGGCATTGATTTAACATGTCTGCGATGGATTTAGGCAGTTTTGAAGTTTTTTTCTTGGCATTTGTGCTTTCATGAGTTCATAATCAGTATATTATCTGCAGTGGTTATTTATTTTCTCCCATTAATTGGAGGTGTCCTGGTCCATTCACTCCAATCATAAATCTCTCTCACTTGCAATTTTTTTTGGCTGGCAGTATGTATGAGAAACGCCTGTTCATGCTACATTCAGTTTAAGAATATTGTTGTGGCTTGATGGGTGGCATTCCCTTGTTTAAATGTGCGGTATGAATATATATTAGAGAAAATAATCTTCTTTTTTTTTTTTCTCAGTTACACTGCAAAAAATTCCTAAGACTGCTATTACTGTTTGTAACAGGTTTTTCTTGTGGCTTGATTTTCTAATGAAGCTTCCCGTAAAAGTATGAACAAGAATTATTGTGCAGCAGCTGTTTGGTTGGCAAATTTTAGTTTTTTTTATTTTTATTATTATTATCATTTGCATAGATGGTGTTCTTGTATCTCTTTGGCGAGGATAGTTGCGTGGTTGATGGGCTAGGCCTGGTTTTGAGAGTAACATTATCAATGTATGTATGGGGTTTCTGTTATATTTTTATTTGAAGGCTGAGTGGTTATTGAGATAACAGAGTTGTTGAGAATTGAAAGGGTAATGAATGAATGCGTTTTCGATGGGACAAGGTGGGCTACTGAGTGGCCAATTCAAAATGAATTGCTGGCTTGCATTCCCAAAGCTTGGAATTACTAAATTACCTGGTCTCTCCTGTCCAACAATTCATTTCACAATTAAAGCCTTCCCCTTCTAGCCTGGCATTTTCATTAGATATTTGAAGTAATCTGATTTAAAATTTTAATAAATTAATTTTGTGAGTTTGATAAAAAAAATTTATATTTGGTGTGATAACATAAATTTGGTCGGATAATTTTTATGTATTATATGTATTTAATATATAATAAATACAATTCAAATATACAAATGATCAAATTTAATTTCTATTATTATCTTTATACAATAAAAAAATTTTATACAATATTCTAATCATTGTCTTGTAAATTTTTGAAAAACTAATAGTAAATTAATATTCGGATACGGTAACAACATATGTTAACATCTTGAAATAAATTATTGAATTCTTTCTATCTTTGTAAATTTAGAACTTAACTAACTCTTTTCTTTTGCTCTCTTAATCTAAAAAAAATGAAGCAAGTGGGGGTGGGTCCCTGAGTTTGTTAAGCTTCCTTAATCAAAGCAATTTCAACCCATCTTAAAAAACTATATCCACCGACTCCTCATAATGCAAAAAATAAATAAATAAAACTGAAACCCAAACTCTAAATAATATTCCACACGTTTCTCCGATCGATTGCCCATCATAACTTCCCCACCTTCGGATTTAAATAAACTAAACCCACGCGCCTGATCGGACGATCCACAAAACAAAGGAGCATACGGGATTCCTCCTACAGCTGTTTACACTAAAACAACCCACCCGCCATTCTTCAAAATTTTTGTTCCAAGACACTTTTTCCCGTGTGTTAACTGGCACGTGCGATCCTTTTCAACAAAAAAGTTTCAGACATTGCTCTCTTCCTTAAACCTCCTCTCTCTCTCTCTCTCTCTCTCTCTCCTTCTGGAACCAATTTTTTTACTCTGATCTGTTTCTCTCTCTAGAATTTTCTTTGGGACCTTTTCTTTAATGTAAGCTTACATCAATCAAGAACAGAGATCCAGAAAGAGAAAAGAAGAATCATTTCTTCATTTTCTTCGAATCTTTTAATGTAAGCTAAAATAGTTGCTTTCTTTTTTTTTTGCGTTTATTTTTAAGATATTTTCTTAAATATTCTGTGATCTTAAGTTTTAGTTCTCTTTTTAATGTTCTTTAGCTCCTGTAACTTTTAAACGTTTGATTAGTTGGTTTCTTGATTTTTTTCCTAGCTTTCGTATTCGAGTGCTAAGTTAGTTACATGCATAAAGATGCGTTTGGTTGTCGAGAAAATGCAAGAAAGAAAAGAAGAGAAAATAAGATGTGGAATGTAGTGAAATTTGAAGAGCTTGGTTTTTTCCGTTCTTGCTGTTTTCTTTTTCTGAGAACTGTTTGGTTGCTGAGAAAGTATAAGAAAAGAAAAACAATTGATCTCAACGTTTTAAGATTTATTGAATGTTGCTTTCCATTTTCAATATTCTGATTGGTTCCTAAGAAAGTGTTAGGGAATGAGTTAATAGAAAGTTAAATCTAGTTTTTGTCTAGGCATTGTTTGGTAGGAAACAGATTATTTTCTTGCTTTTCAATCTTCTGGTAGTCTGAAAGATAGAACGTTAACTCTCACAGCTATAATTTGCTAAATCAGGCTGTTGTTTATTCATCGCATTTTTTGTTTCTTTCAAGTAAAAATCAAGAATTAATGCAAGACTTGGTAACTTCTGCGAATTGTATTATTTATCTTTTCCTGTGTTTGTATGCCAATAATATTTTTTACTTTTCATGCATTAGATATTGATGCTGTTGTCTGAAGAATATCAAACCTGTATTTTCTTCATCAATGTAGGTTTGGAGTTCTAAAAGCTGTAGCAGAAGGTGCTTGTAAGCATTTGGAGTTATAAGAACAGCATAGATCCTTAAGTGCTGTGTGCTTTTGGTATTGGCTAACATATGAAGAATGTTGATTTAGTTTGTCAGCAATATACTCTAGCCAGAAGCTAATGGAGGAAAGTGTCAGCAAGGGACCATCGTCATTAAGGCAAGGTAGCTTTAAGTCCAGTTTGTCAGGAAGATCAACTCCAAGGAGTTCTCCTACATTTCGGAGACTGAATTCAAGCAGGACTCCAAGAAGAGAAGCTAGAAGTGGTGCTGGTGGCATTCAGTGGTTTAGGAGCAACCGCTTAGTTTATTGGTTGCTTTTGATCACTCTTTGGGCTTACCTTGGATTTTTTGTCCAATCCCGGTGGGCTCATGGTCATAACAAAGATGAATTTTTGGGTTTTGGTGGTGATCAAAGGAATAGGCTTGTGGATGCTGAAAAGAACACCCGAAGAGATCTGCTTGCTGAGGACAGTTTGGTAGCAGTGAATAATGGAACTAAAAGAACTCAGGTCTATAGTGATAAAAATTTTGATGTGATTTTGGCCAAGAAAGGGAATGACGTTTCATCTAGGAAGAAAAGGAGTAAAAAAGCAAGGCATAATTTGCGCAAGATGCATGGTAAGCCAAAGGCAACAAAGAACATTGAAAATGGTGACAGAGAGGTGCAAGAACAGGAAATTCTGCTGAAAAATTATACTTACGGATTACTTGTTGGTCCATTTGGGTCGGTGGAGGACAGAGTGTTGGAGTGGAGTCCTGAAAAGAGGTCTGGAACATGTGATAGGAAGGGGCACTTTGCACGCCTTGTTTGGTCTAGAAGATTAGTGTTGGTATTTCATGAACTCTCAATGACAGGGGCTCCAATTTCAATGATGGAGCTGGCGACAGAGCTTTTGAGCTGTGGAGCCACAGTATCTGCTGTAGTTCTCAGTAAGAAGGGAGGACTGATGTCCGAGCTTGCAAGGAGAAGGATCAAAGTGATTGAAGACAGAGCAGATCTTAGCTTCAAAACTACCATGAAGGCAGACCTTGTGATTGCAGGATCAGCAGTTTGTGCATCATGGATTGGTGAGAAATTTATTGGAAAATTTTTATATTTTTCTTTGGAATTGAGAGTAATTGCTTATGCACAGATATGAAGATCAACTATTATCTAATACAAGGTTGCAGCATTTTTCATTTTAGCTGCATAGTGTTTTAAACACGTGGTACTAAGCTACATATTTTCACTTCTCAAATGAAATTTTACATTAGACCTTATCTTGTGTGTAATAATGCTTCCATTAAGATTATTGATCCTTTTTTTATCTAAGTTTGTATATGATAACTTAATCCAAAAGGATAGTCCATTTCAGTTTCAATAATTTTGCAATATTGCTTGATTTTCATTGATTAAAAATGGCATCGTCCTATACTTCCTTCAAGCATCAACTGACTGTCCTAGAAATTGTGATCATTGTGGGTTGGAAGTGCTAGTTTTTAATTCTAGAAAATTACTTATTGAATATAGTAAACAATATACATGCCTTCAGTTAAGATGGTCCACAATGTCCTTTATTTTAGATTATATGGCTTTAACAATTTATAGTAATTTGTCTTACTGCTTGAGTTGATGGACTATACTCTTCCATGGATTGTTTGCATTTGTTGATAGTGACTGGGTAGTAGACACTGCTTTGAGTCAAAATGCAAAACATTTTCTCTAACAAAGTAGTGGATTTATCAGTCCTGTTACCAAAGTTGACCTATCTCTCACGGTCTTTCCCACACACATGCATAGAGACAGTCACATGAAATTTCCCCAATCCCAATTAGCGTTGTCACAGTTTGTTCACCTGCACTTTGGAATAGCAGTAGGTATCTGGTTTAAGCTTTTGAGGTCATTGTCAAAAATTTTTTATCTATATTGGACACTGGTCCTCTTAACTCCCTGTTATTATTACCTGAAAACCACGTGAAAAGCTATTGAAAATTGTCATAGGTGTGTATTTGTGTACTAATTTTAGTTTGCGCTAAAATCCTTAAACTTAATTTTTCATTGGTTGGTCTGCATCTTGTAGTTATCTTTCATTGTCATTTCCACTACAGCTTAATCATCCGAGTTCCCTAGAGTTTTGAATCATAATGCCCTGCATATATGCAACTGTGGTGTAATATTAGATGCAATGTGTTGGTTTCAGATCAGTATATTGCTCATTTCCCAGCTGGGGGAAGTCAAATTGCTTGGTGGATTATGGAAAATAGAAGAGAATATTTTGATCGGTCAAAGCTTGTTCTACACCGAGTGAAAATGCTTATTTTCTTATCTGAATTGCAGAGTAAACAATGGCTCACCTGGTGTCAAGAAGAAAATATTAAGTTGAGATCTCAACCTGCTCTTGTTCCACTTGCTGTTAATGATGAACTGGCTTTTGTAGCTGGCATTCCTTGTTCTTTAAATTCTGTGTCTGCTAGCCCAGAAAAGATGCTTGAGAAAAGGCAGTTGTTGCGAGATGCTGTAAGAAAAGAGATGGGTTTGACAGATAATGATATGCTTGTGATGTCTCTAAGTAGTATAAATGCTGGAAAGGGCCAGCTCTTGCTTCTCAAATCAGCAGGCCTTATAATTGATCAAGTTCCTTTGGAAACTGATTCTGAAGTTAAAAAATCATTTGATATCAGGCAAGATCAGTCAACCTTGGCTGTAAAGCATCATTTAAGAGGTTTGCTTCAAAAGTCAAGCTATGTTAATGTATCTTCTACAGATTTGCAGTTATTTACCCCCGTAAATAGCACAACTGCTGTCAGCTTTGACAGCAGTAACAGAAGAAGGGAAATGCTGTTTGATAGTAAAGGAAAACAGGAACAAGCTCTTAAAATTCTTATTGGTTCTATTGGATCTAAGAGCAATAAGATACCATATTTTAAAGAAATTCTAAGATTTTTGTCTCAGCATGAAAAGTTGTCACAGTCCGTGCTCTGGACTCCTGCAACTACACGTGTCGCTTCACTATATTCTGCAGCAGATGTTTATGTCATGAATTCCCAGGTGATAGATTGGTTATCTTTTTGTCTTAATTTAGATTAGCATAGATATGCTCTTATTTCTTCAATGTTATATAGCATATTTGGATGCCATTCCAGTTGGAATGTTTTGCATATAAGTGGCCCTTTAATATGAATTAATCTATAGCTATATCTTCCATAGAATTAATATCTTGCTAGTTTTCTCCCATATGAGTAGAGAATTCAGTGCTTTTTTTTGTTGTATACGTTCATTTATTTGCTTCATCCTGATTAACACATTGCTTCTATTTGGCAGTAGAGTTTATACACATAGTTCATGTAAAATGTTTTGATATTATGTTGTTTCTTTGTGCAACTATATGGTGGAGCTTTTTTAATGAAGGAAAAAGAAAGCTGTCTTGCAACTGCTAGGCTGTTGGTTAACACCACAAAAAGCCATATTTTTCCTGGTTGTCTATGTATTAATGAATTTGTTATGGAATACCTGATGAGAAAGGCTATGCTTTTTCGACAGATTGGAATTTTTTTTTTTTTCTGAAAACAACATATTGGAAATTGATATGATTAAAACGTCTAACTCTGGTTAATTATGAATCTTAATTCATATTCAAATTATAACTTAGGTAATACTTATTTCTCAATTTTAAGATTTTTTTGAATTAAATGGAAAACATGTAATGATGTCTACATTTTATGTACAGGGACTTGGAGAAACATTTGGCAGAGTAACTGTTGAAGCAATGGCATTTGGTCTTCCAGTAAGACAACTAACTTATTTACCTTTCTGATCTGTCTATGCGCTTCTGACAGCTGTTGTTGGATGTTATCCTGCTTAAACTTTGTGATAACATGTGCTCCAAGAATGTCACCTGCTATGTATTAGTCATAGATCCTATCATTGATTGGGTTGTGTTTCCTCCTAGTACATGAAGTTCCATTTGTAGTTGCCTTCATCCTCGTGAATGCCAATGTTTGTTGAGATTTATGGGATTAGATTAGTCTTGTTCACCTTTTTCTACATGTGTGCATATATCATGCAAATTTCTATCAGCACGTGTACTTATAGGTGTAAGTGCATACATGTGGATTAGTTAGATTTTGTTTTATCATTTTGACCACATCAACTAAGTTAAACTCCAGACAATTTTATGAATCAGGTTCTCATAAATAGAGAATTCCTTTTTAAGGGCAAGATTATTGCGGAAATTTTCCATTTTGAGAACAAATCTCGAGTAATAACATTATTAGTAAATAATGTCTACTCGGATAAATTGACGGCTAAGGTATTTTAGATTGTGGAAATTTATGTACTCATGGCACATCAGTATTAGATACTAGCATGTGTTTCTTTTTTCTTCTATAATTTTATGAGATACTAGCCCATGCTTTGTGGACAAAAAGCGAAGGTAGAGCCAATTATCTTGAAGTGCCAGAATCATGTGTAGCTAGTAAACTTTTAGGTCATGGAAGATAGACCTCCATAAGAACTTTGACTCTACTTTTCCGATTAATCTTTCTTTAAGCATGCTTTTTTAGTGCCTATGACATATCGAACTAAGTTTATTGTGATGCAAATCGAAAAGCTTGGACCTTCATTTGGCTATCTGGATTTGGAAGTGGAAACAAAAGGGTTTGTCTACTAACAAACAATCTACATTTTTGCCTTTCATATGATCTGATCACAGGTTTTAGGGACTGATGCTGGAGGCACAAAAGAGATAGTTGAGCACAATGTTACGGGCCTTTTTCACCCTATGGGGCATCCTGGGACCCAAGTTCTAGCTGAAAATCTCCTGTTTTTGCTAAAAAACCCGGCTGCAAGAAAGCAAATGGGGATGGAAGGAAGAAAAAAGGTAGAAAAAGAGTATCTAAAGCGGCACATATTCAAGAGATTTGTAGAGGTTCTCTCCAGGTGCATGAGAAGCAAATAGCATCTAGTATTGGACACTCTCATTCTTTAATTGGTTTTTGATTGCGAAACAATGGCGAATATTGGAATTTCCATCACTCTGCACGAGTGATTTGTCAAATTTCTTATTGCTTCAGTTAAAAGTACATAGCTTTTTTTTTTCTTGTTAGAGTTTCAAGTACATAAGCCCAAAGTAACCAATAAGACCACATCGGGCCGATCCTCAGGCCTGGTGATTACGTATACGACCATAAATTACAATCCAATGAAACATAAATAATACATATGATATAATTATAAAATTTAAGAAGAAATCAATAAATAAATTAAATAAATCAATAAATTATTATAAACACAAAGTTGGATTTTAATTTGGTATCAAAATCTTTTGTTTGCCCTTAAATTAAGGTTTCATCGGCATATATTAAAAAAATCAAATAATCACCGAACCATTGAGACATAAAATTTTTCAAGTCATCCTTGTGGGTCAATGGATGTAGTAAATATATAAACACAAAGTTGAAAGAAATCCATTATATGCTAGCAAGGTCCGGCCGTGGGGAGAAAGGAAAGAAAAAAAAAAAAAAAGATAAAAATTTTTTAAATAAAAATAGATTTTTTTTCAAAATTTAATAAATTTTTTAATTTTTATAATTTAAAATAAATATATCTTAATTTTTTATTTTTAATAAGTTTACTGTCAATTTTTTGTAGTAAAAATACTTTTAAATTGGATTATTATAAAAATTTTAAGTTAATTAATTCATATTTGACATATTTCATTATGTGATAATAAGTGACACCGCTCAATTGAAAAAAAAATGGATCGAAAAGCCAAAACATTACGAGTTTAAAAATTTGTAGACCAGCAAAAAAATTTTTATTATTTGAAAATCAATATGCTATTTGGCTGAAAGTTAAATAGACAAAAATACTAACTAAGAATGTAATAGTAGAGAAAATATACTAAGAAGAAAACAATGCCTCAACTACAGAGATTCCTATTAAAGTGTTTCATTTAAAAGGTGGAAAGTTTGATGGAAATTATAAAAACAAATATTTCATTTCGCCATCAAACGACTAAGCGGAATAATTGATGAAGAAATTTTCTTAAGATATTGTTTTCGTCTTAGTCTTAGTCTTTTTATACTGGCCTTTGGATAAAAGACGAGAAAGTTGGTCACCATGCGGGAAAAGTCGTCACTGTTTGTCTTTTTCCTGGAACTTACCGCGGCATTTCATGGGAAGCATCTTTAATCTTAAGTGGAGGGGAAGGAGGGATTAGGAAACCGCGTTTCGCATTTCTTACTGTCTTTGTGTTGCTCTTTCCTTACTCCTTTTAGTCTTGAGTCGTGTTCGACTCGATCCTTTATTTAATTTTAGAAGAAATTTCCCCATGCCTCCACGCGATGCTCTGTTGCTTGCAATTAATGGTCTTTCACTCCTCAGCTTCTTAATTTGTTTGCTCTACTTTTTATGCTTACAATTACAACGCGTGCTTGGGGTCCAAAACGACTCAATGGATTGCCTGAGCTTGCTGGAGATCGCCACTGGCTTGTGCTTTTGCATTTGCGGGCATATTGCCGATATCTACTATCTTGAAGATAATCTTCAACGACTTCGGCGTGAGATGGACTCACTCCAAAGTCGCAGAAATAGCATATGCCAAGTGGTGGAAAGCGTTATTGAGCGAGAACCACGAATGATACCTGGGGAAGAAGTGCAAGAATGGCTGACAAGTGCAGAATAATTGCTGATTGTATTGAATGTAGTTGTTGGAGAAGGCGATAGAGCACTCCGAAAGACAGCTTTGGGATATCGCTGGTACTTTAACTTCGTATCCAACTACAAGGTTGGAAAGCGAATAGTTCAGCAGTCGAAATCTGCCGCTGATATGATTGAGCGCGGTCGCCGATTAGAGGTGAGTGTTAAATTGTTGTCATGTCGTATCAAATAAATATTTAATTTTTTGTAATAATATATTTAATTTAAATTCGTCTATTTATTATTAATTAATTTTAAATTAAATATCTAATATAACATTAGAGGTAGATTTCTTTTCTTGTTCTTTTTTAATTTGTCACCCAAGGTTTTTTAATATTTCTGGGTCGTATTAAAATGATTTTATCATATATATATATAATAAATATATAATTTTTTTATAATTTTATATTTAAGTTAGTTAGATTTTTTTGTTTATTGTCAATTGGTTAATTTGATGTTTAAGTTAGTTAGATTTCTTTATTGATTGTCAATTTTCATCTACACACAATTAATATTTATTAAAATGATATTATTTTATATTAATAAATATTTAATTTTTTATAATCTACTTTTAATTGATTTTAGGTTTAATATTTAATGTAGTATTATGTCAAATTTTCTTTTTATTGTCTTTCATCTATGGTTTAGTTATCCTTTTCACTTATTATCAATTGATTAATTTTATATTCAAGTTAGTTTAAATCTTTCAATTATTGTTAATTGATTTTAAATTAAATATTTAATATAGTATCAAAAATAATTTATTTCTATTGATCTTTTCAAATTTGTTATATTATAAGCTTTTTCTATTTCTATTTACAGATGGTGTGATCATGTTAAATCATACCTAATTAATGTTTAATTTTTTATAATTTTATATTTCAAATTCAAATTAAGTCATTCAATTTAATTTCAATTGATTTTAGAATGGCCATTTAACAACGAGGAAGCCACGTATGCGGCTTCTCATGCCTAAGCTGCTTGTGGAAAACACAGTTGGCCTAGACTCGAACGTGAGAAGGGTATGGAGATGCATTGAAGATAAAAGTACTCGAGTTATCAGGTTATGCGGCATTGGCGGTGTTGGAAAATCGACTCTCTTGAAGAAGGTTAGCAATGAATTCCATAACCAAAACCATGATTTCGATTTTGTCATCTGGGTCAAGGTGTATAGACAAGAAGACTATATAGAGCAAGTTCAAGAGGCCATTCGGAAGAAGTTAGATATTTCTGATGGCATATGGAATGAGTGTTCAGGCGAGGAGGAGAAGGCAGCTCAGATATATAGAGTCTTGAAAACTAAAAAGTTTGTTCTGCTATTGGATGATGTATGGGAGCGGTTCGACCTTTTAAGACTGGGCATCCACCTTCAGAGTGATCATTGGAATCGCTCCAAAGTAATATTTACAACCCGTTCGGTGGAGTTGTGCAACGCAATGGGAGCTCAAGAGACAATTGAAGTGGAGTGTTTGCCACCGGATCAAGCCTTGTTATTATTTAGGATGACAGTAGGTGAAAATATCCTGAATAACGATCCAGAGCTTTCAAAATTGGCAGAAATTATAGCCACAAGATGTGGAGGGTTGCCACTTGCTCTCCTCACTGTGGGTCGAGCCATGGCTAGTCGGAGGAATCCCGCTGAGTGGCGCCACGCAGCTGAGCTGTTACAGAGCAACCCATCGGAGATTGAAGGCATGGCGGCTCATGTTTTTCCTCTTCTCAAGTTTAGCTACGATAGCTTGAACAATGCCACAGCTCAAAATTGTTTTAAATATGGTTCCATATTTCCAAAGGATTATAACATCAGAATAGATGAGCTTATTGACCTGTGGATGGGAGAAGGCTTTTTAGATGGATCAAATCCACGCGATCAGGCAGAATATATAGTTGGGACTTTAAAGCTTGCATATTTGCTGGAAAGTGATGAATCTAAACAATGTGTTCGTATGCATGACATAGTCCATGACATGGCCATGTGGTTAGCCCGAGATCAAGGCAAAAACAGGAACAAGGTTTTGGTGGCAAAAAGTGGAACCGTTACATATCAGGAACTCACAAAATGGGAAGGGGCGAATTGGATCTCCTTGTGGGGTAGTAGTAGCAGAGTGAACATAGATTACTCACCATCTTGCAATCACCTATCATCTTTGCTCTTTAGAGATACACTGCTGAAATCATTCCCCAGTGGATTCTTTAACTCTATGCCGGCTTTGAAAGTGTTGGATTTATCAGGTAATCAAGGCTTAGTTGAGATACCTGACATTGGAAATGTGAAAACGTTGCAGCATCTTAATCTGTCATTAACAAGAATAGCAGAGTTGCCTGCTGGCCTTGTGAAGTTAACTAACCTCAGGTGTTTGCTATTAGATCATACCGCAAATCTTAAAAGGTTTCCCAAGGAGGTGATCTCCAGTCTTTTACTTTTGCAAGTCTATAGTAAAATAAATGGAGTCCTTGAGTACTTTGACCCTGTTGAAGTTCCAGCTGATGCTGAAGTTGCATTCTTAGATGCCTTGGAGTGCTTGAATCACATAAATAAAATATGTATCACAATATTTGCTGCCTCTTCTGTCGACAAAATTCTGGAGTCCTACATTTTACGGAGTTGCATTAGAAAGTTAACAATCATGGACTGTAAGGGTTTGATTTCATTATGTTTTACACAAGAATTTGGTAATCTAGAGAGGCTTGCGATTTCTGGTTGTTATTCACTCAAAGAGATTATGTTATCAGAATGGTGTAAACTCGGCAACCTTCGTGAGGTGTACGTAGGAGTTTGCCCTCTCTTATTAAACCTCAACTTCCTCGCTTATGCTAAAAACCTTGAGACTCTTACCATAATTGATTGTGAGTTGCTGGCGGTAGTTACCAGCGAGATAATAGCATTCCCCGCACTGAAAACTATTTCTTTGACTCGTCTCCGAAATTTGAGTAGCATCTGTCCATCACCCAGATGCTTTCCTTCTCTGTCAGAGATTGAAGTATCTCAGTGCTCGTTGTTGATGAAGCTTCCATTTGATTTAGATACTGCAAATTTATTGCAGAAAATTAGAGGAGAAACAGAATGGTGGAATGGCTTGATTTGGGATGATGAAGCCATTTGGGATGCTTGTCGCTCGAAATTTGTATCCACCTCATCCAGACCCCTGCAGAAAAAGAAAGATCAGGCATCCACTAGCAGGTAAATCATATATCGTATTATTATTGAAGTATCTGCCTTTTGAGAAATGAATCTTTGAATCTCGCTAGCGAGGGATAATGCCCACCTGAAATGAATAGTTTGTGTGTTACTTTTGTAGGTCAACTATTTGATGATTTAGAAGCTAGTTGCAAATATGTTGAAGCATTGGGGCCATGGACCATCTTAAAATGAGGAATTTAGATTGCTAGAGAGAAAAAGAAATATTTGGTTTACTTGTGCTGGTCATATTTTAATGTATTTTTATATCCATATTTGTTTTGTGGAAAAAATGTGTCCAGAGTTAATTGGTGTATGTGGCTTGCAATTTTATGTTTGTTTGTGTTTGTGAAACTTGAGTGTTAAATTTTGCTGCTTTGATTAAATGAAGTCGGATGTTTTGCTTGGGCTCTTATGTATTATTTTGTAAGTATCATTTTTGTAGATATTGGCTTTGTGTTAGAGGTTTACATTTTCAGATAAGGATTCATACCAAAAAAAGAAATCCATGTTCTTTCCACCATTATTCATTTGATTGTTGAATCACCCTGGAAATTAACATGACCAATTTTCTTTTATCCCCTGCTTCAAATGTCAAATCCCTAACAAATATCTCAGCTTTTAGTAGTGTTAGAACATGATTCGCTACTGATTATAAAAAATCAATCATCTATCCTTTCCAGGACTGGGACCGCTTCTTGATCTTGATTACAGTTTTCAGGGGAGTTCATTAGTCTCCTGGCCTTTCAAAGCTCCACTGTGCCTTGGGCCATTAACTTAGCCCACAAGCTTGCCAAGTCTATCGATATCTGTTGGCCCTTTTCCCTCCACTGCATTTTTTTCCAACCAGCTGCCTGACTTTTGGTAGTTTTGCTGTTTTACTTAAATGAACGATCAATTCAGGAAAAAAAAAAAGGGGTTCTATAAAACTAAGCAGTGATTACTGATTCAATGAATTTTGTAAGATTCCTTGAAAATTCTTCTACAGGGAACTTTTTTTTTTCTTTTGCAAAGTTGGATGAGTTTTGTTTTTTCATACCAAGATGAATTAAATTCTTTACTCCAAAAAAAAGAAAAAACAGCTTTGGTAGATAAGCATTGTCATTGACATAGTTGATGTGACTTGAAATACCTTATTTAGAAAAAAAAAAATCTCATTTGAGAATAAAGATTTTAAATTATTTTGATGTGAAATTTTTGAATGTAAAACGTATCTTTACATATCATTTTTAAAAGGACCATTTCCCTTAATAGTATTTATTACAAAACTCGTATGCTTACACCATAAATCATCCCTTTGTTGATTAACACTACATCATGCTTCACTCACTCTCTCTCTCTCTCTCTCTCTCATTTCTGATAAATTCAATGATAGTGATCTTTGTCATTGCATTTACCAACAGACTTGTTTGACATTTATGGCCTTTAACTATCGCCGGTCCTCTTACAAATTTAGAGCTGTTGATGAGTAAAAAGTGTAGTGATAACAATGACAGGCTAGACTTCTAATTATGCCTTCTCATCTCTATTCTCACTTCCTTTTCTTGACTTAAAATTGTTAAAATGACCCAGGACCCAGCCACACGTTATTCGTGCTTTAGCAGGCACTAATTGAGATCAAATGTCAAACAAGTTGCTTCAACAAGTATTTCCAATATGAAGATAATGCCTTAAATTGATCCTTCAATCTAACTTGATAAATTTAAGCCTTATACGTATAAACCATAAATGTGGAGATTTTAAACTCTCAGATGCATCTCATGCTACTAGCAAAGCATGGCTCCCTGCCCATAGTTTTGCGTTTTGTTTGCCCAGTTGCCACTCTAAATCATTCCCAATCTCAAATGATTTTCGCTTCCGTCGATCAACTTATACATTGCCCTTTTAAAGAGGCCCACATCTTGTAAACGCCTTTTCACTTTTTTCTTTAGCTTTCTCTTCCCTTCTCAAACTTAATTTTAAACTGTTCTATTTAAAGGAAAATGACATCACCTTATCCTGTTTGCCTGAACAAATTGGTACGGAGCATCAAAATTGCAGTTACAATGATCCTGGCACACCGGAAAAAGAAAAAAAAAAAAAAAAAACCAACGGCCCAAGTGTTTCATTTGTAGTCAAACAGCCTGCGAAAAAAGCAAGCAACCCACTTGAACCCATTTACAGCTCTAGATAGCAACCTGACTGAACATGACCGGAGTATTCATCTGCCACTTCCATTCTTATCCATGTGTAATTTCTCAAATTTAACACGTAACAGTGTGGGGCTCGACGAAGCTCAGTGAACCAATCACCAACAATTTGTCTCCATTATTACGGAAATTTTCCATTTTGAGAATGAATCTTGAGTAATAACTTTATTAGTAAATAATGTCTACTCGGATAAATTGACGGCTAAAGTATTCTAGATTGTGGAGATTTATGTATCCATGGCACGTGTATTAGATACTAGTATGTGTTTCTTTTTTTTCTTTTTTATATTTTTATGAGATACTAGCCTATGTTTTGTGAACAAAAAGCGAAGGTGGAGCCAATTATCTTGAAGTGCCAGAATCATGTGTAGTTAGTAAATTTTTAGGTCATGGAAGCTAGACCTCCATAAGAACTTTGTCTTTACTTTTCCCATGAACCTTTCTGCAATCATGCTTTTTTAGTGCCTGTGACTTACATGGAACCGAGTTAATTGTTATGCAAATCGAAAAGCTTGGACCTTCATTTGGCACTGTCTGGATTTGGGAGTGGAAACAAAAGGGTCAGTCTACTAACAAACAATCTACATTTTTGCCTTTCATATGATCTGATCACAGGTTTTAGGGACTGATGCTGGAGGCACAAAAGAGATAGTCGAGCACAATGTTACGGGGCTTTTTCACCCTATGGGGCATCCTGGGACCCGAGTTCTAGCTGAAAATCTCCGGTTTTTGCTAAAAAACCCGGCTGCAAGAAAGCAAATGGGGATGGAAGGAAGAAAAAAGGTCGAAAAAGAGTATCTAAAGCGGCACATGTTCAAGAGATTTGTAGAGGTTCTCTCCAGGTGTATGAGTAGCAAATAGCATATGGTATTGGACGCTCTCATTCTTTAATTGGTTTTTGAATACGAAACATTGGCGAACATTGGAATTTCCATCACCCTGCGCGAGTGATTCGTCAAATTTCTTATTGCTTCAGTTACTAGTACATAGCTTTTTTTTTTCCCTTGCCAGAGTTTCAAGTACATAAGCCCAAAGAAACTAATAATACCACATCGGCCCGATCCTCAGGCCTGTTGATTAGGTATATGAGCATAAATTACAATCCAATGAAACATCATTAATACATGTGATATAATTATAAAATTTAAGAAGAAATCAATAAATAAATTAAATAAATCAACAAATTATTACAAACACAAAGTTGGATTTAAATTTGGTATCAAAATCTTATTTTTATCATTAAATTAAGATTTCATACGCACATATTAAAAAATTTAAATAATCATCGTCCTATTTAAACTTAAAACCCTGAAAGATATTTTTGTTAAACAATGAATGTAGTAAAAATATAAACACAAAGTTGAAAGAAATCCATTATATGCTGGCCAGATTCGGTGAGAGAGAGAGAAAGGAAGAAAAGAGAAAATAGATTAAAAAATTTTAAATAAAAATAAATTTTTTAAAAAATTTTATGAATTTATAATTTAAATTAAATATATATATTTTTTTTTTTTAATAGTTTTTTGTTTTTTCTTTTGTTTTTATAAAAGCACTTTTAAATTGGATTGTTTTGAAATTTTCAAATTAATCAATACATACTTTGACATATTTCCTTATGTGATAATAAGTGACACTTAACTGTTCAATTGATAGAAATACAAATCAAAAGATCAAAACATTATGAGTTTACAAATTTGTAGACCAACAAATAAATTTTGATTATTTGAAGACCAATATAATATTTGGGTGAAAGTTAATAAACAAAAATACTAATTAAGAATGTAATAGTAGGGAAAATATACTAAGAAGAAAACAATGCCTCAACTACCGAGATTCCTATTAAAGTGTTTCATTTAAAAGGTGGAAATTTTGATGGAAATTATAAAAAAAAATGTTTCATTTCGCCCATCAAACGACTAAGTGGAATAATTGATGAAATAAATTTCTTAAGATATTGTTTTCGTCTTAGTCTTAAGTCTTTTTAAACTGGTCTTTGGATAAAAGACGAGAAAGTTGGTCACCAAGCGAGAAAAGTTATCATTGTTTTTCTTTTTCCTGAAACTTGCCGCGGCATTTCATGGGAAGTATCTTTAATCTTTAGTGGAGGGGAAGGAGGGATTAGGAAACCGCGTTTCGCATTTCTTACTGTCTTGGTGAGGCTCTTTCCTTGTGCCCTTTTGGATATCAAAATATTCTGTTTGCCATTAAATTAAGGTCGGTTTGAATCGAACGCATATTAAAAATTATTTAACGTTTCACTCGTACACATATTAAATATTTTAAATAATCACCCTATTATTGACTTGGACTTATGCATCCTTGTGGATCAATGGATGTAAACATATCAACAATTAAGAGAACGTTAAATTACAAGTTTAGTCATTTTATTTTAAGTAATTTTTTATTTTGATCATTCAATTATAAAAAGTTATGATTTAATCATTAAAGTTTATGATTTTTTTTGTCATTGGATTGTTATTATTAATTAATTTTAAATCAAATGTCTAATATAACATTAGAGTTCGATTTCTGTTCTTGTTCTTTTTTAATTTGTCACCCAAGGTTTTTTCATATCACTGAAATTTTATTAAACAATGTTATCACATATTTAATAAATATATAATTTTTTATATTTTTATATTTAAGTTTGTTAGATTTTTTTTATTATTATCAATTGATTAATCTGATATTTAAGTTAGTTAGATTTTTTTATTTATTGTCAATCTTCGTCTACACAAAATTAATATCTATTAAAGTGATATTATTTCATATTTAATAAATATATTTAATTTTTTATAATTTTATATATACTTTTAATTGATTTTATGTTTGATACTTAGTATAGTATCATGTCAAAATTTTTTTTATTGTCTTCCATCTCTGGTTTAGTTGTTCCTTTCACTTACTATCAATTGATTAATATTATATTCAAATTAGTTTAGATCTTTCAATTATTGTTAATTAATTTTTAATTAAATATTTAATATGACATGAAAAATAATTTTTTTCTATTGATTTTTTCAAATTTGTTATATTATATGCTTTTTCTATTTCTATTTACAGACGGCGTGATCATATTAAATCATATCTAATTAATATTTAATTTTTTATAATTTTATATTTAATATTCAAATTAAGTCATTCAATTTCCTATCAATTGATTTTAGGAAGGCCATTTAACAACGAGGATGCCACGTATGCGGCTTCTCATGCCTAAGCTGCTTGTGGAAAACACAGTTGGCCTAGACTCGACCGTGAAAAGGGTATGGAGATGCATTGAGGATGAAAATACTCGAGTTATCAGGTTATGCGGCATTGGCAGTGTTGGAAAATCAACTCTCTTGAAGAAGGTTAGCAATGAATTCCATAACCAAAACCATGATTTCGATTTTGTCATCTGGGTCAAGGTGTATAGACAAGAAGACTATATAGAGCAAGTTCAAGAGGCCATTCGGAAGAAATTAGATATTTCTGATAGCATATGGAATGAGTGTTCAAGCGAGGAGGAGAAGGGAGCTCAGATATCTAGAGTCTTCAAAACTAAAAAGTTTGTTCTGCTGTTGGATGATGTAGGGGAGCGATTCGACCTTTTAAGACTGGGCATCCACCTTCAGAGTGATCATTGGAATCGCTCCAAAGTAATATATACAACCCGTTCGGTGGAGTTGTGCAACGCAATGGGAGCTCAAGAGACAATTGAAGTGGAGTGTTTGCCACCGGATCAAGCCTTGTTATTATTTAGGATGACAGTAGGTGAAAATATCCTGAATAACGATCCAGAGCTTTCAGAATTGGCAGAAATTATAGCCACAAGGTGTGGAGGGCTGCCACTTGCTCTCCTCACTGTGGGTCGAGCCATGGCTAGTCGGAGGAATCCCGCTGAGTGGCGCCACGCAGCTGAGCTGTTACAGAGCAACCCATCGGAGATTGAAGGCATGGCGGCTCATGTTTTTCCTCTTCTCAAGTTTAGCTACGATAGCTTGAACAATGCCACCGCTCAAAATTGTTTTAAATATTGTTCCATATTTCCAAAGGATTATAACATCAGAATAGATGAGCTTATTGACCTGTGGATGGGAGAAGGCTTTTTAGATGGATCAAATCCACGCGATCAGGCAGAATACATAGTTGGGACTTCAAAGCTTGCATATTTGCTGGAAAGTGATGAATCTAAACAATGTGTTCGTATGCATGACATAGTCCATGACATGGCCATGTGGTTAGCCCGAGATCAAGGCAAAAACAGGAGCAAGGTTTTGGTGGCAAAAAGTGGAACCGTTACATATCAGGAACTCACAAAATGTGAAGGGGCGAATTGGATCTCCTTGTGGGGTTGTAGGAGGAGAGTGAACATAGATTACTCACCATCTTGCAATTACCTATCATCTTTGCTCTTTAGAGATACACTGCTGAAATCGTTTCCCAGTGGATTCTTTAACTCTATGCCGGCTTTGAAAGTGTTGGATTTATCAGGTAATCAAGGCTTAGTTGAAATACCTGACATTGGAAATGTGAAAACGTTGCAGCATCTTAATCTGTCATTAACAAGCATAGCAAAGTTGACTGCTGGCCTTGTGAATTTAACTAACCTCAGGTGTTTGCTATTAGATTATACTGCAAATCTTAAAAGGATTCCAAAGGAGGTGATCTCCAGTCTTTTACTTTTGCAAGTCTATAGTAAAATAAATGGAGTCAGTGAGTACTATGACCGTGTTGAAGTTCCAGCTGATGCTGAAGTTGCATTCTTAGAGGCACTGGAGTGCTTGAATCACATAAATAAAATATGCATCACAATATTTGCTGCCCCTTCTGTCGACAAAATTCTGGAGTCCTACATTTTACGGAGTTGCATTAGAAAGTTAACAATCATGGACTGTAACGGTTTGATTTCATTATGTTTTACACAAGAATTTGGTAATCTAGAGAGGCTTGCGATTTCTGGTTGTTATTCACTCAAAGAGATTATGCTATCAGAATGGTGTAAACTCGGCAACCTACGTGAGGTGTACGTAGGAGTTTGCCCCCTCTTACTAAACCTCAACTTCCTTGCTTATGCTAAAAACCTTGAGACTCTTACCATTATTGATTGTGAGTTGCTGGCGGAAGTTACCAGTGAGATAATAGCATTCCCCGCACTGAAAACTATTTCTTTGACTCGTCTCCGAAATCTGAGTAGCATCTGTCCATCTCCCGGATGCTATCCTTCTCTGTCAGAGATTGAAGTATCTCAGTGCTCGTTGCTGATGAAGCTTCCATTTGATTTAGAAACTGCAAATTTATTACAGAAAATTAGAGGAGAAACAGAGTGGTGGAATGGCTTGATTTGGGATGATGAAGCCATTTGGGATGCTTGTCGCTCCAAGTTTGTGTCCACCTCATCCGGACCCCTGCAGAAAAAGAAAGATCAGTCATCCACTAGCAGGTAAATTATATATCGTTTTATTATTGAAGTATCTGCCTTTTGAGAAATGAATCTTTGAATCTTGCCAGCGAGGGATAATGGCCACCCGAAATGAATAGTTTGTTACTTTTGTAGGTCAACCATTTGATGATTTAGAAGCTGTTTGCAAATATGTTGAAGCATTGGGGCCATGGACCATCTGAAATGAGGAATTTGGATTGCTAGAGAGAAAAAGAAATGCTTGGTTTACTTGTGCCAGTCATATTTTAATGTATTTTTATATCCATGTTTGTTTTGTGGAAAAAATGTGTCCAGAGTTAAATTGGTGTATGTGGCTTGCAATTTTATGTTTGTTTGTGTTTGTGAAACTTAGTGTTACACGTTGCTGCTTTGGTTAAATGAAGTTGGATGTTTTACTTGAGCTCTTATTTATTATTTTGGAAGTATCATTTTTGTAGATATTGGCTTTGTGTTAGAGGTTTACAGTTCCAGATGAAGATTCATGCCAAAAAAAGAAATCCATGTTCTTTCCACCATTATTCATTTGATTGTTGAATCGCCCTGGAAATTAAGATGACCAATTTTTTTTTATCCCCTGATTCATATGTCAAATCCCTAACAAATATCTCAGCTTTTAGTAGTGTTGGAACATGATTCGCTACTGATTATAAAAAATCAATCATCTATCCTTTCCAGGACTGGGATCGCTTCTTGATCTTGATTACAGTTTTCAGGGGAGTTCATTAGTCTCCTGGCCTTTCAAAGCTCAACTGTGCCTCGGGCTATTAACTTAGCCCACAAGCTTGCCAAGTCTTTCGACATCGGCTGGCCCTTTTCCTTCCCCTGCATTTTTTCCAGCCTGCTGCCTGACTTTTTGGTAGTTTTGCTCTTTTACTTTCAAGGAATGATCAATTCAGAAAAAAAAAAAAAAAAAAAGGGGTTCTATAAAACTAACCAGTGATTACTGATTCAATGAATTTTTTAAGATTCGTTGAAAATTCTTCTACAGGAACTTTTTTTTTTCTTTTACAAAGTTGGATGAGTTTTGTTTTTCTATAGCAAGATGAATTAAATTCTTTACTCCAAAAAAAAAAAAATAGTTGCTGTGACTTGAAATACCTTATTTAGGAAAAAAAAAATCTCATTTGAGAATAAAGATTTTAAATTATTTTGATGCGAAAATCTTGGATGTGTAACATATCCTTGCATATCATTTTTAAAAGAACCATTTCTCCTAATAGTATATATTACAAAACTTGAATGCTCACACCATTAATCATCCCTTTGTTGATTAACACTATATCATGCTTCACTCACTCTTCTCTCTCTCTCATTTCTGATAAATTCAATGATAATGATCTTTGTCATTGCATTTACCAACAGACTTGTTTGACATTTATGGCCTTTAACTATCGCCGGTCCTCTTACAAACTTAGAGCTGTTGATGAGTAAAAAGTGTAGTGATAACAATGACAGGCTAGACTTCTAACTATGCCTTCTCATCTCTATTCTCACTTCCTTTTCTTGACTTAAAATTGTTAAAATGTCCAGGAAGCCAGCCACACGTTATTCGTGCTTTGGCAGGCACTAATTGAGATCGAATGTTAAACAAGTTGCTTTAATAAGTATTTCCAATATGAAGATAATGCCTTAAATTAATCCTCCAATCTAACTTCATAAATTTAGGCCTTATACGTATAAATCATAAATGTGGAGACTTTAAACTCTCAGATGTATCTCATGCTACTTGCAAAGCATGGCTCCCTGCCCATAGTTCTGCTTTTGTTTGCCCAGTTGCCACTCTAATCATCCCAATCACTAATGATTTTCGCTGCCATCGATCAACTTATACATTGGCCTTTTAAAAAGGCCCACATCTTGTAAACGTCTTTTCAGTTTTTTCTTTAGCTTTCTCTTTCCTTCTCAAACTTAATTTAAAACTGTTCTATTTAAAGGAAAATGACATCACCTTATCCTGTTTGCCTTGACAAATTGGTACAGAGCATCAAAATTGCATTTACAATGAACCTGGCACACCGGAAAAAGTTAAAAAAACAAAGGCCCACCAAGTGTTTCATACGTACATTAAAGTCAAACAGCCTGCTAAAAAATCAAGCAACCCACTTAAACCCATTTACAGCTCTAGATGGCAACCTGACTGAACATGACCCGTGTATTCATCTGCCACTTCCATTCTTGTCCGTGTGTAATTTCTCAAATTTAACACGTAACAGTGTGGGGCTCGACGAAGCTCAGTGAACCAATCACCAACAATTTGTCTCCATTATTACGGAAAATTTCCATTTTGAAGTGCCAGAATCATGTGCAGTTAGTAAATTTTTAGGTCATGGAAGCTAGACCTCCATAAGAACTTTGTCTTTATTTTGCCCATGAACCTTTCTGCAATCATGCTTTTTTAGTGCCTATGACTTACATGGAACCAAGTTAATTGTGATGCAAATCGAAAAGCTTGGACCTTCATTTGGCACTGTCTGGATTTGGGAGTGGAAACAAAAGGGTCTGTCTATCAACAAGCTACATTTTTGCCTTCATATGATCTGATCACAGGTTTTAGGGACTGATGCTGGAGGCACAAAAGAGAGTTGAGCACAATGTGACGTGGCTTTTTCACCCTATGGGGCATCCTGGGACAGTTCTAGCTGAAAATCTCCGGTTTGTGCTAAAAAATCCGGCTGCAAGAAAGCAAATGGGGATGGAAGGAAGAAAAAAGGTAGAAAAAGAGTCTAAAGCGGCCTATGTACAAGAGATTTGTAGAGGTTCTCACTAGCATCTAGTATTGGACACTCTCATTCTTTAGTTAAACAATGGGCTATTGATTTAGAAGCTGTTTGCAAATATTTTGAAGCATTGGAGCCATGGACCATCTGAAAAAGAGGAATTTGGATTGCTAGAAAGAAAAAGAAATGTTTGGTTTGCTTGTGCTGGTCATATTTTAATGTATTATTATATTCATATTTGTTTTGTGGAAAAGATGTGTCCAGAGTTAATTGGTGTATGTGGCTTGCAATTTTATGTTTGTGAAACTTGAGGGTTAAATGTTGCTGCTTTGATTAAATGAAGTTGGGTGTTTTGCTTGAGCTCTTATTTATTATTTTGAAAGTATCATTTTTGTAGGTATTGACTTTGTGCTAGAAGTTTACAGTTCCAGATGAAGATTCATACCAAAAAAAAGAAATCCATGTTCTTTCCGCCATTATTCATTTGATTGTTGAATCACCCTGGAAATTAAGATGACCAATTTTCTTTTATCCCCTGCTTCATGTGCCAAATCCCAAATAAATACTCAGCTTTTAGTAGTGTTGGAACATGATTCGCTACCGATCATAAACAATCAATCATCTATCCGTGCCAGGACTGCGACCGCTTCTTGATCTTGATGAGTGTATTCAGGGGCCTCCTGGCCTTTCCAAGCTCAACTGTTCCCTGGGCTATTGACTTAGCCCACAAGCCTGCCAAGTCTATGTCTATCGATATCGGTTGGCCCTTTTCCTTTGCATTTTTTTCCAACCTGCCGCCTGACTTTTTGATAGTTTGCTGTTTTACTTTCAATGAATTATCAATTCAGGAAAAAAAAAACACACACACACACACACAAAGGGATCAATAAAACTAAGCAGTGATTACAGGTTCAATAAATTTTATAAGATTCCTTGAAAATTCTTCTACAGGGAACTTTTTTTTTCTTTTGCAAAGTTGGATGAGTTTTGTTTTTCCATACCAAGATAAATTCAAATCTTTACTCAAAAAAAAAAAAAACAGTTTTCGTAGATAAACATTGTCATTTACATAGTTGATGTGACTTGAAATACCTTATTTAGAAAGAAAATCTCATTTGGGAATAAGATTTCAAACTGTTTTAATGCGAAAATTTTGAATGTAAAATCCTTACATACTTTTTAAAAAAGAATCATTTCCCCTCATAGTATTTATTATAAGACTTGCATGCTCATACCATTAATCATCCCTTTGTTGACTAAAACTACATCAAACTTAAATGTTTCACTCCCTCTCTCTCTTGTTTCAGATCAGCTCAATGATACCGATCTCTGTCATTGCATTTATGAACTTATTTCTACAAAAAAATTGACTTTTATGGCTTTCAAGCTTCCACTATCGTTGGAAAAATTGTAGTGACAGCAATGACCGGCTAAACTTTTAATTAGGCTTCTCATTTTCTTCCCACTTCCATTTCTTGACTTACAATTGCTAAAATATCCAGGAACCCAGCAACACGTTATTGGTGCTTTAGCAGGCATTAATTGAGATGCAATGTGAAACAAGTTGCTTCAATAAGTCTTTCCAATACGAAGATAATGCCTTAATTGTTCATCCGATCTCTCCTCATTATTGGCTGTTGCAAGAGAAGGCACTCACCTCAATGTAATAATTATTAAACATCATTGGGAGTAATCACTATATTGCGTATCCATTAAGATCGTATAAATCATAAATGTGGAAATTTTAAGCTGCATCTCATCCCACTTGAAAACCATGGCTCCTCACCCATGGTTATGCTTTCACGGGCAAAACGAGATAACAAATCCTGGATTACAGCATTCCATGTTCCAGGCTTTCTCAGGGCCACTGGCTATTCAGACAAGAGTGCCTCTCTTGTAGGCGGTGCGGTGGGCCTCTATGTGAAGCACAAGAATCACATTGTCAACTGTTGATGTCGCATCATATGTCCGAATTTTTGTTTGCCCAGTTGCCACTCCCATCGATCAACTTATAGATTGCCCTTTTAAAAAGGCCCACATCTTGTGAACGCCTTTTCACTTTTTCTTCAGCTTTCACTTTCCTTCTCAAACTTAATTTAAAAGTGTTCTATTTAAAGGAAAATGACATGCATATTCATCACCTTATCCTATTAGCCTTGACAAATTGTTACAGGGCATCAAAATTGCATTTACAATGAACCTGGCACACTGGAAAAAGAAAAAAAAAAAAACAAAGGCCCAAGTGTTTCATATGTACATTAGAGTCAAATAGCCTGCTGAAAAATCAAGCAACCCACTTGAACCCATTTACAGCTCTAGATAGCAACCTGACTGAACATGACCCGAGTATTCATCTGCCACTTCCATTCTTGTCCACGTGTAATTTTTCAAATTTAACACGTAAGCAGCGTGGGGCTCGCCGAAGCTCGGTGAACCAATCACCAACAGTTTGTCTTGCCATGTGGCCATATGAGCTGTATTGAACACTTCAGCTGGCAGCTCAGCAACCGCTTTCCACGTGTCATTTTCTATTGTTGCCACGTCACCACCTCGACACATGTATAATTTTCCATCTGCAACCACGCAGGTTCTTGGACAGGCGCCAGTTCCTAAGAGGTTCTCTTGCACTGGGCTCCATTGCCACGTGGAAACGTCGAATTCCTCGGCACTGCTTTCGAATTGGCCTTGTCTATCTGTACAGTAGCCGCCGATGACGTTGAACTTTCCGAGGTGGAAAATTCCCTTGCACTCATCACGCTCTCTGCCCATGTCAGGCAATGGAACCCACATATTAGCGGCCACGTCATACGCCATAGCTGATCTTAACGCATTTTTCTCACCATCATGTCCACCGGCAACATACACCATCCGATCCAAATCCGACGCACATCCAAAAAAGATCCTCCTTACACCTGGCATATCAGCCCCACGACGCCACGTGGCGGACATAAAATTGTAAACATAAACAGCATTTCGGACCTCAAAAGTGTCTGGATCCAACCCACCCATCACCACAATGTTCGACCCGACTCCAACAACTTGACAAAACATGGGCAACGCATCGGACAGCCCCGGAACAGGTGGCAAGTCACTCCAGTCCCCGTTATCCGGCTCGCAAAGCACGATTTGATAAACCGGCATGGCCTGACATTTCAGGCCAGAATTTCTATTTGGTTTGACTCGGGCTTGGGTCATTAACATCACATGCTTACTACACCCAGCAGCTTGTCGGTGACAAAAAAACTGTGGCAAATGAATTTCAGCCTTCCACTCTTTACAGGTTGATGAAATATTGGAGAATCTACTGTATGGGACACGAACTAAACATTCACGGGCAATATCATTAGGAAGACCAGGTATGAGCTCCATGGTAAATTAGTTGGGAAAAAGAAAGGGTGGCTTTTGTAAAGGAAAGGGATGAGATATATGGATGAATTAGCAAATCAGAAGTGAAGTTTTGGGGGAGAGAGTAAAGTTTTGGTGGTTTTTATAGGGAATTGGAAGAATGCGAATTGAAGAAGAAGAAGACGAAGAAGACGGGCACCGAAGCAAGTTGATGGTAAAGGTGAAAGAGACAATGGGAGACCATAGGAAAATCGGCCGTTTGTTGTCTTAATATTATTATTTTATTTGTTTATTAATTATTACTATATGCTTCAACGGATTCTCAGGTTGCTGGGTTTGCATTATTAAATACATAATATCACGAGGAAAGAAACTAGTGATCATATCTATTATCAAATAAACTTAACAAATTTTTTAGTATTAGACACATTTTTAATAGATAAATACCAATCTTTTTCACCTAAAGTTATAAATATCCTATACCATGTTACATGCTCATTAATTATAACTTAGCATGAATTTTCTAACTCCTTTTTTTGGTTTGTTAATTTTGTTATTCATTTTAATTTGCTTCCAATTTTATATTTTTTGAAAATAAAAAAGCAAAAAAAAATGTTTAGATAAAAATAAATAGAGTTATTTAAATAAGTAAAAATAAAATTTTAATTTTTGTGAATAATAAAAGAGATTGTTTTCTATATATGGTAAAGAAAATTTTAACTTTTACTGGAAATAAAAAATAAAAGAAAATTTTGAGTTTTGGCTTTATGTTTTTTTCCCTGTAACTATTTTAATTAATTTTTATTGAATTTTTTAATTATTTTAAAATTTAAGATATAATAATAAATTTCATTTATAACTAAAAATATAATAATTAAATTACATCAATTAAAAAATTAATAATAAATTTAAACCACGAATACATAAATTTAGACCTTTGCCTCTTATTTATAAAAAATTTGAAAAAGTAAATAATGCGGCAAATGACGAGCCAAATTAAGCATAGTAAATAAAAATATTGTAAAAAAAGTTTGCCAGGTGCTAGCTGAAAGCGGGGAGAATACATTACTATTTGAAAGCTACAAAGGTTATCGTATATAGCTAGCCAATGAGCATGTAACATGGTATAGGATATTTATAACTTTAGGTGAAAAAGATTGGTATTTATCTATTAAAATGTATCTAATATTAAAAAAATTGTTAAGTTTATTTGATAATAGATATGATCTTTAGTTTCTTTCCTCGTGATATTATGTATTTACTAATTAGTAAATTGCTAAAAATTCAACGCGCATGGATTGGAATTTGGAAAATAAATGCAATAATTGATGTTTGTTTTTACTTGACGTAAGAACATGGATGAAGAATTTATTGGTTCTGGGTCTTCCATTATCTTGAATTAATAATTAGTACTAAGGTGGTGAATCTTGTTAATTTAATTTTGCAAATCAAGTAAAGTAAGTTCATTCATGATGGATCGGAGTGATTTTCTTCCACTTGAATTGGAAAAACAATAGGTATGTTGAGATATTTTTTAGGTTTGGTGAGAAAAGAGCTCATTGAAAGCTGAAATCAATGAGTTTGTTAGATCTATAAAAATAAATTAAGATTATCGAAATTAAAATTTTAGAGCATTATTAAAGTGGTATTATTTTATTTTCATAAATATTTAATTTTTTATATTTTTATGTTTAGGTTGAACCTTTCATTTATAGTTAATTAATTTTAAGTAAGATGCACGACAGTTTTAATGCTCGGATCTACTAAGTTTTTGAGAGGAAAAAAAAAAGTAAATGAAAAGAGAAAGGAATAGAGTAATAGAGGTAGACTGATTGTATAACATTCTTATCTGACTTTTTTATATCTTTCATGGGTGGTGACCTCACTATATGCCTTGAAATAATGTGTCAGGTCACATGTGAGTTTTGATGACATGGCCATTAAAGTTAGAGATAGCAACAAAATATATATCTATTATTTTTTAGTTATACGTATTTAAATTTGTTTAATATTTATAATATTTAAATTTTTTTAAGTTTAATATTATAATCTAAATTTGAATCATTTAATATTTAAATTTATTATAGTATTTGTTTATTTAAATTTTTTTATCAAAATATAAAATAAATAATAATTGAATTTAAAATTTAAGTTTATTCTTAATTAATAATAAATAAAGGTTAGTTGCTAAAATATGAAATTTTTACAAGTATAAAATTTTACATATGTAAACGGATAATAGATTCGGATATGAATTCATATATAAATTACTATTTATTAAAATTTAAATAAATTTAGATATTAGATATCCAATAATTCTATTTATATAATATCTAAATTCGTTATAAATAATATATATCCTATCCGAATCCGTTAATTATTTATTTATAATTATTTAAAATTGACATGAATAAATCAACTAATGATAAATATACCTTTATTTACTATCTATTTCCATACCTAAATTCAAAGTATAACAATTAATTTTTTTTTCATATTTTTTAAGCAACAATTAAATTGAGAGCATTTCACCTAAATTTTGTTTGGTTAAATCATTGCAATAACAACAGCTACATAGTATACTTCTATAAATGATTTTTCAACAAATATGTGTCAATTAGGGAGGGAAGAAAATAGATTAATTTTTAATTACCACTTGCCTACGTTATTTAGAAATGTTGGTCGTAAAAAGCCTTTGAAATTAACACAAGAAGGAAATAACTGAGTATTCAAAATGTTTGAAGAAATTAACACATGGATGTTGAATTTTGGTAAGGTGGTGTGTAATGTGAACAAAATATTAACTATGTCAACTCTTTTTGGTGACTAAATTTCCATCTTCGAATGGCTGCCTGGATAACCTGGCAACCACGGAGAGTAAATGATACATATGGAACACGGTACCATTATTGTTAATTCCCATACCAGTTGGTATGGACCGCCAACGCACCATATTATAAAAAAAATGTCAAAGATGGCCAGAAAGAAAAGATGTAAGCCTTTGGGAGAATGTCTTTTTAATAAATAAAATAAAATAAAATAAATAATATATATATGTATATATGTATGTGAATGTCAAAAAAAAAAAAAAAAACTTCGTAAAAAAGTAATTTTCATAGACATCATGAAAACACGGTTGATCTTTTATCGATGTGAATTATAAATTGAGTGCACAAATAAGACTTAGGGATAAAAGTGAAATTTGCATATGTATTATGTGTCAACATTGAATTTTGTTATTGTAATTTAATTTCGTTGAATTGTGTTGTAATTTCAATTTTGTTAAATTTTATCATTATATTTTAATTTTATTAACTTTTTTATATAAAAATAATGAAAATTGATCTATTTATTATTTAACTAAAAACGATAAAAATTAAAAATATAATGATAAAATTTTCCATTTACATTAACAAAATGGTTCATCAAATATTTCAATTCAATTACTTTTTATTCAATAATCAATGAAATTGAACGCATAATTAGTGATAAAATTCAATACTGTAAATTTTGAGTGATAAAATTCTACAAAGTGTTGTGCAAATTGTTTTAATACTGTAAATAATAATGTTGTAAAAACATTAATAACAAATTTGTATAATTCTTGCTGTAAAATGTTACTTGTATTAATTTATTGTAACATAACACAATTCATGATGAAAAAAATATATATTTACGACATTTATATAAAATTACTTTAAAAAATATTATTTCTCTTTAATTTGTTTCAAAATTAAGATTAAATATTTCAAGAACCAAGTGAGCATAATCACAGCTATCATTAACAAAATCAGATTACACATTTTAGCTAAATCCAAATTCAAAAGTATTGATGAAAAGATTAAAAAAAAAAAAGAATTAATAAATGCAATTGCAATTTATGTACAGCTGCAATATCATCAATCTTATGTTTGTCTGCCTCAAATCTCCAAGTAACATCCTGATTGAACGTGACCGGAGTATTTCTCAGGGGTCTCTAATTTTGTCCACTCTGATTTCTTCAAATTCAACACGTAAGCATTGTGGGGCTCATCGAATCTTGAAGAACCAATCGCTAGCAACTTGTCCTGCCATGTTGCCATGTAAGCAACCTTGCACAGGTCACCAGGTAGCTTGGCTATTACTTGCCATTTGGCATCTTTAAATGCCACCACATCACCTTCACAAATCATGCAGATATCCACGTCATCGCCACCTATGCAAGTGCTTGGATTGGTGCTGGCTTTTAAAAAGTCATCTTGCACATGATCCCACCGCCAGGTGGCAATGTCGAACACCTCAGCACTTTTCTCAAATTGACCTTGCATGTCGGTGCAATAACCTCCGACCACGTGGAACTTGCCACGGTGGAAAACTCCCTTACACTCGTCTCGCTCTTTTGCCATGTCAGGCAATGGAATCCACTCACCCTTCGCCACATCATATGCCAATGCTGACTTCAAAGCATTCTTCTCATCATCATGTCCGCCAGCAACATACACCATCCGATCATCACCGGAAGCGCATCCGAACATTGACCGCCGAATACCTGGCATGTCAGCCCCCCGCCGCCACTTGGCATTCAATAAATTGAAGACAAAGACAGAAGCGGAAGCCTCCCAAGTCACCGGGTCCAACCCACCCATTAGAACTAGATGATACCCGACAGCAAGCAGCTGGCAAAAATAAGGCAGCCCATGAGGAAGCTGAGGCAAATCAAGTTCAACCCAATTGCCCTCATCCAGCTCCCAAACAGATAGCCCATAGACTGGTTTAACAGAGCAGCCTTTTTGAACACCCTGTTTCATATCAGGGTCAACCCGAGCTTGAGCCATGACAACAAGTTTTTGGCCATGGCAAGTAGCCTTCCTAAGGTGAAAAAACTGCGGCAGCTCAATCTCAGTCTTCCACCCTTTGCAAGTTGACAAAAGTGTGGCGAATTGGTCGTACCTGACTCGGATTAAACATTCTCTGGCAATATCGTTGGGGAGATTTGGAACCAGCTCCATATGGTAATTGGTAAAATAAAGAAAATAGATTTTGACAAATGAAAATTGAAGAAGCTAGGTTTAACATTGATTCAAGAAACGATGGTTCCTTTTATAGGGGGTGGGATTAAGCTGCAGACACTCTAGAAAAGTTTTGAAACTTTTATTTTATTTTTAATTTTGTAATAGAAAAGACCAGTTGGAGAACTTGGAAACAGCCCTAACGTTGATGTTCTTTGTTCCTATTAACCTAGAATTTTATAGAGGAAGTCAGACAATCAAATTGAATCTTTTTTCATGATTCGCATATATTGGGTTGTCGTAGTCATTGTGTCTGGAACATTGTGCCAAAACTACTTGTGTATTTGAAAAACACAATCCGACCCGTTGACGTTTATTTATGTATGGGATTTAAGGCAAATGTCTTACAGATTATTTTATTAGTATTGATTTGTATCCACCAGACATGTTTCCTTTTAATCCTCTGAAGAGTGAAGTCTGGTCTATTTTATTATGGATTGAAATTAAAAACAAAAAGAGAAAGAAATTGAAATTCAATATACAATAAAATTATAAAAATTAAAAAAGGGTTCAATTATTGTCATCCATGAATTTCATGATATAATGAGATGATAATACTTAAATATTTGAATCAAAACTTGTCAAATATATTTTTTAAAATAAGATGTTCATTACTTCAAATTTGAAATATCGATCATTATAACTGAGTCGATAACGTCTGAAATTTTTTGAAATTGAAAAACTTGTCAAATATTTGGGTGAAGGCTAGCGGGATTAGTAGTTCTCCTATGTTTTTAATCTTTAATCTCGTACATAATCATGTGATTGATGGATAAAATAGTAAATTTTTTATTTTAATATCAATCTCTAAATTTCTTCAATTTTAAATACTAAAAAAAAAAAATCGTTGATTAGAGATCAAGTCCACTACTTTAACTACTAAAAAAAAATTCTTAATTAAAAATCAGGTCCATATGAATTGTGAGTTATAAATAAGGAAATAATGGATAAAAGAAAAGATAGCTCTCCTTTTTTAGATCAAATTCAGGTAGACTGAATTATTGGAGCTGAAAATTTAATGGTTCTCTAAAGACACTGACTTTACATGCCAGCTGTTGGAATTTTTGTTCACAAGTTGAACATGTGACATTCTAATCTTGCACCAAAAAAGTTGATTACTTTGAGGTAAAGTCAAGGTAAACAAATAATTTTTAAATGAAATAGAAAACAAACCATTGAACTCAAATTGAGAGCCAACACGAAGTTGGTCATGGTATCAACTTGTCTGTGGGTACCATTCTCTAAAATTAACTCTTTCTTTATCATTTTCTTAGTATTTTTTTAATGTATTTTCTAGGGAAATAAAAAAGTAGTAAATGAACCGTAAGAATTAGTAATACGTAAAATGTAAAAGTTTGTTTTCATATTGATAATAACAGAGGTCAAAGCGACCCTAGAAGCGGCGTCGGTTTCCCTTTAAGAAGCGGCAGCGAACGCGATTAAAACATGCACGGTGCTCTTTTAAAGAAAGTCTGAACGTTAGTTTGGTGATTTGCACTTTAAAGCTGTAAACCATAAACATTGGGTTCATTTGGGTCAGACCATAAATTGTATTTTTAAATGTGATGAAAATTCTTCAATCAAATTTTTTAATGTACTTTAAGTCAAATTTATAAAAAAGCTGATAATTACTAACCAAAAAGTGTATTTTAATTGGATTAAATTTTAGCCAATGGTTTAGAAGTTGTAAGAGGTTGATGACCAGTAACAGAAACTAAACCTACCCTATGATAACAGAAAGTGTGTATTAGTTAGATTTGGAGATAAATGTGAAGCATCAATGAAATGAATCAATCACATTACGTTTATGACAGAAATGGTGAAATCAAGTCTGATTGCACTTGCTTTCTGGTTGGAAGTCTGTTGTTTTCTAGAATTGAATAAATGCAATCAAGAATAGGTCATTTGGGCCCATTTTATTAATAATAGTAATAATAATAATAAAAAGAATAGGTCGCTATCGAAGCTAAATATGAGGAGGATGGAGCACGCAACCGTTCTTAGAAGGTGACAAAATGGTACACAATAATAACAAAAGGACCTACATGTTTTACAAACTAATTACATTTGAATTGAAAAGAATGAATGGGAAAAGCAAAAACCGCAAACCACGTTGCATATGTGCTGTTCTCACTTTCTCATCATCGTTTCTTCTTAGTTATGGTTTATGAACATTCCAAATGGAAACCAAAAGATTGACACGAACTAAAAGACTTGGACCATAATACAAGAGTCCTTCCGCTATAGTGGTCAAGACCTGTGAATATTATGATGCTTGGGGGAAAAGAAATAGCCAGGTCTTCGCTTTATAACTTGGACACAGATAATAAAATATTGAAATCTAAAATGCAGGTTTGTCTGGTAAATTCAATTGCTACAGAGAAAAATTCAAAATAAACATAGGGATATGTAGTCATAAGTCCCCTACACGTCAAGCTTTCAAATCTTATTGATCATCATACAAATTCACCAAGAAAGAAATCCCTACTACTTCACAAGCAATGCAGAACAACCATATATAGAAACAAGAGAACCGGTGAACAAATGGTCAGTTCCTGAAAGGATGATGTACTCAGTCCATAAACACCAATCACAGCCATTTCAAAACCTGGCAGCCTGTTCAACCATATCTTTGTACTCATCACTTACAAAAGACTTCACTTTGAGAGTAGGGTTTCCACCATCAACCTTCCCTGGAGACTCGTACTTTATCCCAATTACAGTTGCCAGACCTGTACAAAAACAAAGGAAAACCAAATTCTACCACATAACAAAGTCTCAGGTAGTTCAAATTCAAATGGAGGCATATTTGACATTTGATGCCAAAAACAAACATTTGCGTTCCATGTAATGCTAAACAGGATCTAAGGGGAAGGGACTTCAGGTGGAGATTGATATATTTGGTTTCAAATATCTTCAGGTAACAGTAAACATTAATGCAAAACTATGAATTTACTATAGTAAACTTTCACCAAAACATAGTTATTTAGGAAGGGAAAAAAAACTATTGCTCAATATTATTGCAATAAAATCTCAAATTAAACATATATAAGATATGCTAAAATTTGCTACAACAATAAAAAAAATGACTTGTGATGAAATGACCTCAGGTTCGGGGATACCAAAAATCAGATTGCCTTTCTCCCTACCTTTCAGAAAGCACCGTGCCAGACTTAGGGCTAATATAATGCAGGCACTAATCTAAACTAATTTATAATAACACAATAAACTCCTAGAATAGTAAAAGGAAAAAATTAAGGTACTCACTTGAATGTATGCGTCCATACAAGAATCTTTCACCTTTCCAGAATTCCAAAGGTCTTGACCTGATCCTTGTGCTTCTTCTCCTCCCTTCTAAATCAAACATTGTACCAGAACCTATAAACAAAGAATGCACCTAGTCATCCCAACAGATTTACTAAAGAACTTCAAAGTTGCAAGTTGAACTTTTGGTATTAGTAACACCTGCAAGGCTTTGTCTTCGAGAAAGTGCTTTCATCTCACGTTCATTGTGTGGTCGTGGTTTTGTTTTACCCTTCTGTTGCTAAAGAAACAAATTAAAAAGTAGAAAAGAAAAAAAAAACGTAAACTTCAGAAATTTTCAAAAGGGGGGGGAAGTAACCAAAAACAGGCATGAGTCTTATTTCTTTTTCTTCACTAAATAGAAGAAATGATTCGATTCATGGTTTTATAGACACAGACTAATAAAATATGAAGGGATTCTGAACAGTAAGCTGAAGCATGCAAAGTAAACATACAAACATCTAACAGAAATTGCCACTAATCCACAACCTTTGTCACTTTGTTTTGTTCAAAATGACACCATCAGCCATAGCAATAAGTACCAGGTAATATCCTAGAACACATTTCAATTTTTCACCTTAACCCTGATACCCTTGGGCTCAAAAAGAATTACAGATGTAACATTTTCAGTAGGTGAAGTTTCCCATTCAGGACTTACCAATCAAATTTCAGGCTTTACCTTTCTCAATTAAAGTAAAAGCAAAGTCTAGACTTGGCATGATTTGAGATAATGATTATTCTTAGATACCATAGTAGATCAAACTGTTTCTCATCTCATAAATAGGGCTAAGTACATTGTCTTTGTCAACTATCAATTTTAATTATTATCATAAACTAATGACAGCCAATAGAACACAACACATTTTCAAAATATGGGGTAAAGAAGCAGTGGTACAAAAGACAACAAGCAATAATCTTACAATAATTGATATGGAATGTATCAGAAGCATGTATCTCCCCTGTTTTGCAGTCCCTTATTCCCTTCAGTTACCTAGTAGCCAGGTTACTTATTGAAAAGTTTTAAAGTCCTTTACACTAGGGGAATTATTCTGGAAGAAGAGGGGTGGGGGCGAATGAGTTGGCATTATTTGCAATCACTGTTTCACATAGCAAATGCTTACTCTAAACATGTGCAAAGGATATCTTAGTAAGAAAAACGTCCAAACAGAAGATGGAAACCATAGATTCTATGATTTGAGATGTAGCCCTATTCACTGTCATTAAATCAATCTTCGTGGTGCAAAATTCTAAAAGACTAGTGACAAGCAGAAAACCTTTTGAGTTGATATCAATACATTATATGAGCTGTTACAAGAAAGGGATTGGAAGATTGAGAAAATCAGATAAAGCATGTATCTTCCCTGTTTTGCAGTCCCTTATTCCCTTCAGTTACCTAGTAGCCACGTTACTTATTGAAAAGTTTTAAAGTCCTTTGCACTAGGGGGGAATTATTCTGGAAGAAGGGGGGTGGGGGAGAATGAGTTGGCATTATTTGCAATCACTGTTTCACATAGCAAATGCTTACTCTAAAAATGTGCAAAGGATATCTTTGTAAGAAAGACGTCCAAACAGAAAATGGAAACCATAGATTCTATGATTAGAGATGTAGCCCTATTCATTGTCATTAAATCAATCTTTGTGGTGCAAAATTCTAAAAGACTAGTGACAACCAGAAAACCTTTTGAGTTAATATCAATACATTATATGAGCTCTTACAAGAAAGGGATTGGAAGATTGAGAAAATCAGATAAAAAAAGATATCAGTGTTTCAAAAATACAAAGGTAATATACCTTCCATATATAAGCCCAAACAAGCACAAAAGAACTCCCGAATCATGAAAGTTGACTGCCATATTAAGTGGAAAAATAAACAAGAAGATAAATAATCTAGGAAAGTACAAACCTCGTGCAGCACCTGATCACTTTCTGCAGGTCTAGAAGATCTATCCATAGCGCGGTCCTCATCCATAGCAGGATTAGATTCATCTGTTAAGGGAAAGGAAATGTGCACAAAGGAAACTAATAAATTGAAACCATCAAAGCATATCAAAGACTACGGTAAATCTGGTCAAGATATGCTAGGTCCAAGGAAACTAAAAGCAAGAATGTTATACTTTACCATTTAGGTATTTCACATTTAAAACCCAATAATATTAAATTTAGAAAAGATATTTCAATGATAATTTATTTAAAGCATAAAGCAGAAAATTACCGCCTGAATTGTCTGATGACTATAACATGAAATTTCTTTTCTGATTTATAACAGACACCAAACCACATGCCACATATGTTGAACTAATTAGTTAAATGGGTATATCCAATATAAATTTGTATTTTTAATGTAATTTAAGTATTCAAGTGTATAAGGAAGTTAGTCTTCACTAGCTATACCAACTAAAGCATGAACGTAAAAATCCCATTTAACAAGAATGAGGAGGGCGTCCAAGGAGTTGCCAAAAGGTCAGGATGATAGTATGTAAGGCACTAGGATGGGATCATAAATTCTACATCTTGCAGCACTGACTTCAAACCTCTTTGTGGAAAAAATCCCCCAGGACATTCAACAGGTAAGACCAACCAAAGAGCACTAGACCTTTAATGCATTGGCAATTAGAAAACATATTTGAAGGAAATCATACAGCATTTTTGAAAACCAAAGAGGCCAATAAGGAAGAAAATTATCTTTCCATTTTGCAAAAAATCATAAAACATCTTTGAAAACCAATCACTATGCTACTATGCAACCACTAAATGAATTAGAGAAGAAAAAAACTTGTAACTGAGGCATTTTGGTACAAGTCATTTGTATCCCCATCCAACAAGAATATCTCATCGACAACAGAGAAAATAATCATACCTGACGCTCTCTGAATGGCATCCAAATTATCAACAGTTGGGCCTTCCACATTAAGTTGGATCTGAGGTGAAACAACTGCTTTTTGTGGCATATCTTGCTCCTGCGTTTTGTCACAATGAGTCAGAGTATGACATTCAGTAACAAGGATTTACCTCAGAGTATGACATTCAGAAACAAAGGTTTCCACTAAACTGCAAATGACTGTTGAAAAGTCAATAGGAAAACTCACCCTTCCACCAAATTCATTTGGTTTGATTGTAGGACCATCGGCATCAATTTCAGGCCTGCTTAAACTGTTATTCTCTAAGTCAGCCTGAGACCCACTTGAGACAACATTAATACCAGAATCAAACCTCCTTGCATTATCATTTATAAATTTATCAAAGAGACCAGCAAAATCTCCCCTATCAAACTCGGAACTTGCATTAACAGTTGCAGTTTGATTTGCTTCTAATAATGGAGACCTTAACAGGGGAGACATGTTCGGTTCCTTTTCTGCATCAACCTGACTAGATTGTTTACTGAAAGTTTCAATAGGAGGTGCATTTATCCCTGGTGATTGATCAATATTATCAGTTGAAAAAGGACCACTTTGTGGATCTGACTGCAACAACTGTTTCTTCTGCAATGACATTGAAGCCAACGGACTTCTTGGAGTAGGAGAAACTAAATGAAGAGCTGAACTTTCAGCCTGCCTTTTTAGTGTTCTTCTATCATCGTTTTGAGACAAACTTGGTTCCTTTTCTGTATCAACCTGATCAGATTGTTTACTAATACTTTCAATAGGAGATGCATTTCTCATCGGTGATCGGTCAATATCATCAGTTGAAAAAGGATCACTAAGTACGTTGGACTGCAACATTTGTTTCTTCAGCAATGATATGGAAGCCAATGGACTTCTTGGCGGAGTGGGAGAAGCTAAATGATGAACTGAACTTTCAGCCTGTTGTTTTGGTGTCCTTTTACTGGTCCCTTTCATCAAACTTTGTATGTCTGATAGTGAATTTCTAGGCTTTGGCAAGTTTTCTGTAGAAGCTTTCAAATCAATCCTCCGAATATCTTGCAAGTCAGGCAGGCATATTTTCTCCAGATCAATAGGTTTGATCTGCAAGTGCTCCTGTAGAAGACTGACTGCCTCATCCCCATCATAATTACTGGTAAGCAAATGATCCAGAAGGTCATTGACCTTGTTCTCTACATTAGTCACCAAGCCTAGACAGAATATAACATTATGTTATCATATACACATGGTGCGGGAAATTTTACAACATTGTGCAAAAAAACACAAATGAAAACCAAATCATACAACAGGTTAGATTTAGAGAAGATATCACGAATGAGTGAGCAGGAACAAAATAAAGTAACAACTTAGGACAAATCAACCTTTCTTGACTTACCAGTGAACTCCTCTTCTAATTCGACATTGGGGTCAGATTTCTCTTGCTGTGAGCCACAAAGTGGACTGCAAATTTCCTCTTTTAAGCTTTCTACAGGGGACATAACAGTAGAATAGCAATGTCTGTACTTAACTGATCTCCTGAACATTACATCATAAGGATATGTTATAAACCTCTATACATACAGAACAGTAAAAAAAAATCAAAATGAATACAACAGAAAATCAGTAACAGGAAACATTGATCAGACCGCGATATTCCAGGGCGACGAGGCCTTGCTGCCACAGACTGAATATTCTGATCCAAATCCATCAGAACAGCACCTATCTGTTTCTTTATTTCTCTTTTGGCATCTATAAAACAATACAAACAGACAGCGAAAAGCTAAGTTCATATAAATAATTGCAGATTAAATTTTCCAAAGTAATCGAAGCAGCAAACTTACTTTCAGCCCTTTCAAAAGCCATAAAGAATTCTTCAGGATCTTTTAATTTATCAATGTCTAAACTGGGTTCTATAATCACAGAAGGCTGACTACAAAAGATTAAAGAAGTAAAATTAAATTCAACTAGCATTTTACCACAAAAGTGAAACAAATTAAATAAATCAAGCCATTTCAAATAATCTTAACCTAGAGTTAGGTTTCAAAGAAAAACGAGGTCGTTTACGTCCTAAAGCGGGTCTTCGTTCACGAGGATTTTCCATAACTTCAGCATCAGAGCGTGGCATATCCAAGTCCATGAGCTCTGAACTACTATCAACAATTGCTTTGGCTTGCTCTATAAGCTTATTAGGACTTTGCAATGGCTGAAACAGTAAAAAAATTAGAACAAAATAATTGAAATAAAATAACAGTAAGGTAAATTTAGGGGGAAAATCACCATGGATTTGAGGAAATCGTGAGAGTGTTGAAGATCGTCAGGGTCGTAAGGTCGAGGAGGGTTTGGAAGGGCAGCGAAGGTCCGAGCAAAAAGCGAGAGACCCGAATAGCCCTCCAGCGGATCTGGAGTAGGAGTTTGGAGAGGCATTTGTTTTTGTTTTTATGGGCTTTTTTGGGGGATTGAGATTGGGATCATTGCCTCAGAGCGAGAAAGAGTAGGGGTGAAACTGGAAGGGGCGTTTCTGATTCGAAAAATGGCACTGAGCGGGACTGGATTAGGTTGTGAGCATCCAGCTGTGATTATATTTTATCGGTTTTTGCAAATGTATCCCTGCATTTACAATTATTTTCATATTCACTGCTCTCTTTATGGGTTAATATTAAAAATAATTTTTAAATTATAATATAATATTTAATATAATATTTAAATTTAAAAAAATTTTAATATAACATTTGAATTATAAATTAAAAAAAATTTAAATCGTTACAAATCATTATTTAAAATTAATCATATTAAAAATAAATATTATATTAATTAATAAATTCATAATTCAAAATTACATTAAATTTTTTTTAAATTATAATATCATATTAAATATTTTGTTATAATTTAGAAATTATTAATCTTTTTACATTACACCTTTTTATTGAAATTAAAAAAAATATATTCTATTGAAATGTTTCTCAAACAAATGAAAGAGACAAATATTACACTTTGCCACTCCCCCTCCCCCTCCCCCTCCATTTCCTTTTTCTTTTTCCTTCCATTCCATGCAATCCAAGCAAAACTAAGTAATTGGAAATCATGTCCAACATCATAAGCATTTTCCGTTATCTCTTATAAAATGAAAAAAATGGTTTTTCCGATTTTCTTATCAAAATAAGATAAAATTTTAATAATACCGTGGACGGCAGGATTCGAACCTGCGCGGGCAGAGCCCACATGATTTCTAGTCATGCCCGATAACCACTCCGGCACGTCCACAACGGTGGCCTTCCGTTTTACTAAAGAAAATATATCTGTAAAAAACAAAAAAAAAACCCATGAATCTCGCGGTTATTGAAAATTCTGAGACTTCTTTTTAAAATGAATATCACAGCAAAGCAAAGCCACAACCCAGTTTCTAAAGCACGCTTCCCTTTTTGTTGCAAACAGAAGAGAAACAGGTTCCATTTCTTCCTCTCTTTAAATTTTGTGTTCCAGCCCTAATTAGTTATTCAATGTGTTGTTTTATAATTTGAGAATTTGACCAATTATGATATGAATTAAATTTTTTTAATCATTGATTTGACATGTTTTCGGCAAAGATAATGTGATTATTTCAAAAGCCCAACTTTGGTAGTCACTTTAACTTTTTGGCTACGATTTGAAGTGAAAGTTTTCTCCAGTTGATTCTGATTAATGTGTACTCTGAAACAGCTTACTTGCATGGTATCAAAACATCAAACATAATTGCACCAAATCGAACACAATTTATTATGGTTATTGAAGTGGTGTTTTAACATGTCTGATTCAAAGACAAGCCAAAGTGGTGGTGTTGGAAAGACCCAGGCTGGAAATCTTCCATCATGGACGAGTTCAAGAGAGAATGAGAATGAATGCCACGGAAACAAGTCAAATTATGCTAAAGGACGTGGTCAAGGACAAGGCCCTAGTTCTAGCAACAAAAATTTTTCCAAACTTATGGTACTGGATTGTTATGAAGTGGGTTGATATTCGTAGTTTCTATGATTAATCTAATGGAATTGTATTTGATTTGTTTCTGTCTGGGCAGGAAGGGGTGGTCTTTGTATTGTCAGGATTTGTTAATCCGGAGCGCAGTACATTGCGTTCCCAGGCTTTGGCTATGGGAGCAGAATACGAGCCTGACTGGAATTCAAATTGCACCCTCTTGGTATGTGCTTTTCAAAATACTCCAAAGTTTCGACAAGTTGAAGCAGATTGTGGAACAATTGTATCAAAGGTAATATAAGCTGCTGAGCTATAGACATTTCTAGGCCCAGTGTACCACCTATGACTCAGTTGATGTAGTCTCCCATTTTTAGTTCAGCTATGCAATCTACTATTTGGCTGAAATCAAAATTCCAACACAAGGAGATTCTGAGGTTTTGACTGTTGCCTGGTTGCAATTGCGATGGATTTGTTAGCAAGAGGAGTTCCCAGGGTTGTTTCATTCATATTAGATTTATAGGGTGTGTTTGGTACATAAGATTATGATAAAATAGGATAAGATGATATTATGATTATCATTAGATTAAATAATATTATACTATCTTGTATTTGATATGTGCAAAGATTAAGATAGGATAATTTATTTATTGGTCAAAATTATCCTTCCTCAAAGTTTAAATTATTAGTGTAATTTTTAAGAGTATAATGGGACATGTAAGTTCAATTTCATGGATTAAAAATAATTCTCTCCATTTTGAGAGGATTGAATCATCCTATACCAAGAGGATAATTAATACTTTTTACAATCCTACCCCTTTCTTTAGATGCAAACCAAACATAGTATAGGATGATAATCATCCTATCCTATCCATCATCCTATGCATCAAACATGACCATAATGGGTTACAGAACATTGTTTTTATATTATCTCAGATTCTCCACAGGCTATTTTCTCATGCTTGTTTAAACTTTTGCCTGTTAAACTGATTATATCTACTTTGTTCTGTCTCAGGAATGGATATTAGAATGTTATGCACAGAAAAAGCTTGTCGATATTGATCCTTACCTCATGCATGCTGGGAAACCTTGGCGAAGAAGTAGCATTCCTTATGAAACTAGTGAAGGTAATTTTGTTTCAGTACCTTCTTTTCTTCCCTTTGAGTAAAGACTACATATTACTATTATGTTAGAGAAGACATAAATGGAAGACCTCCATGAGCTTTATCCCTTGTCCTAACAACCCAAGCCAAGGTTTTTCTGTCTTGTTTTTTGTCACCCTTGTTTGAATCATTTGAGTTGCTGATTGTTGAACATACCTTCATAAAGCTTTAGCAGGTGAGTTTTTGGAGACTTGTTGTGAAAATGAGTTTTGTTGAAGAATATAAGGACATTTACTTTGCCTAAGTATGGACCTGGTTTGTCTTGGAACTTACTGAGTTATCCAATAGTCAATATAAGTATAGAACTGTTGGTCTCTAGTCTTTCAGATCTGCTGTCTGGGAGCTAGGTTACAGAAGTGAGCCAAATTTTCACCAATTGTATGTGCAAATCCCTTAACGAAAAATCAAGAAGAATGTTAGTACAAGCCCTACGTGGCTGGTCGATAACTATGTAGTTTTTCCAGATGTGATTAATCGTTCCAGTGGCTGGAATGAGTCAAATGACATTCAATTTTTAATCAACAAACATTGCTGCATTATTGAAGTCTAATGTGGTGTGTTCATCAAATGTAATAATTTTTGTGTTTTCCCTGCACATGCTGTGCTTCTTTAATGTTTTCTGTATTTCTACGTTTTAGCATGTGTAATAAGTCTATGTTCTGAATTCAAAGAGTGCTTGCAGAACAACAAAGATTATTTGCAGAACAACAAATAATGTTTTCTGTATTTTTGGAGACTTGTTGTGAAAATGAGTTTTGTTGAAGAATATAAGGACATTTACTTTGCCTAAGTATGGACCTGGTTTGTCTTGGAACTTACTGAGTTATCCAATAGTCAATATAAGTATAGAACTATTGGTCTCTAGTCTTTCAGATCTGCTGTCTGGGAGCTAGGTTACAGAAGTGAGCCAAATTTTCACCAATTGTATGTGCAAATCCCTTAACGAAAAATCAAGAAGAATGTTAGTACAAGCCCTACGTGGCTGGTCTATAACTATGTAGTTTTTCCAGATGTGATTAATTGTTCCAGTGGCTGGAATGAGTCAAATGACATTCAATTTTTAATCAACAAACATTGCTGCATTATTGAAGTCTAATGTGGTGTGTTCATCAAATGTAATTATTTTTGTGTTTTCCCTGCACATACTGTGCTTCTTTAATGTTTTCTGTATTTCTACGTTTTAGCATGTGTAATAAGTCTATGTTCTGAATTCAAAGAGTGCTTGCAGAACAACAAAGATTATTTGCAGAACAACAAATAATGTTTTCTGTATTTTTGGAGACTTGTTGTGAAAATGAGTTTTGTTGAAGAATATAAGGACATTTACTTTGCCTAAGTATGGACCTGGTTTGTCTTGGAACTTACTGAGTTATCCAATAGTCAATATAAGTATAGAACTATTGGTCTCTATTCTTTCAGATCTGCTGTCTGGGAGCTAGGTTACAGAAGTGAGCCAAATTTTCACCAATTGTATGTGCAAATCCCTTAACGAAAAATCAAGAAGAATGTTAGTACAAGCCCTACGTGGCTGGTCGATAACTATGTAGTTTTTCCAGATGTGATTAATTGTTCCAGTGGCTGGAATGAGTCAAATGACATTCAATTTTTAATCAACAAACATTGCTGCATTATTGAAGTCTAATGTGGTGTGTTCATCAAATGTAATAATTTTTGTGTTTTCCCTGCACATGCTGTGCTTCTTTAATGTTTTCTGTATTTCTACGTCTTAGCATGTGTAATAAGTCTATGTTCTGAATTCAAAGAGTGCTTGCAGAACAACAAAGATTATCATCAACAAAATCTTACAAGCAAGTCAAAGAAACACAATCAAAGACAACTTCTGTTCCCTCCAAGGTAACATTTGATTGTTATAAAGATAAAAATGCTGTTGCACTTTCCTTTCAGTCCCATTATCCCTGAGTTTATCGGAGGTTGTGTATTTTCAGAATAAAGCTTCTCATTCCGATAAAGAGAGCTTTTCTCCTTCTGAGGTGAAGAAGTGGGTTATTGATGATTTCCATGGAACTATTTCATGGCTGGAGAGTCAAGAGGAAAAGGTAAATGGCATTTGTTGCTTTCATTTTCAGCTGATATGCTGGTCTATCATGGCCTCCTTGTTCTTGTAGACTTACAATATCTATTGTACTAGCCTGATATCTGCTTTCTCTTTTAACAGCCAGAACCACATGAGATAAAGCAAATAGCTGGTGAAGGCATCTTAACTTGTTTGCAAGATGCCATAGATTGTCTTGCACAAAAGCAGGTATGCTGTGGTCAGGACAATGCATTTATGCTCTTAAAGTTGTCAGGAATATGTGGTGAATTTAATATAAATGTCTCCCTTTAGAAGGTACCTATATACCATCCATCTAATCTTCAGGATGCAGTGTCACGGAAAAATTATATACCCTCTTAATTTGTTACTGTTTTATTTGACAATATTTCATGAGCCGTCAACTTTATCAAATTTCTTATCTTTTATGAAATAAACATAATGTTGTTACAGAAGTGTTATTCAAAGGGGAGGGTCAAGGGTGTTTATGTTCTCTTATGTTAGTTTCCTTTTCTTTGCAACTTAGTATTCTATAGATGGTATCCTTGAAAGTTTTCCCTCTTATTTTCAGTTATTGATGAGTTGTTTCTTTAGGATTTTCTCTCATTATTAGCAGTTTTGAAGTTCTGTGGATGATCATTTATCAGTAGCCTCTCTTTGCTCCTTCGGCAGGAGCCTCTTGTACTGTACATGAGGATATATGCAGTGATGATTATAAAGTCTGACATTTTTTGTAATGTCGTCCTGTTAAAGCATAAAACTATTCAAATGAATGTCTATATCTGATAATGCTTGCTGATAAATATTTTGAACAAAGAAATTAATATACTTGGGGATAATTTTATTTAATTATATTATGGGATTATATTGTTGGTTTCTTTCATTTTTTTCTCTAGCATTACAAGATTTATTCATATCTGGAATTTGTCAGAAACTAACTTCTTATAAACATGATTTTGTGGTTGTTTGCTATCTTGCTCCTAACAAAATTACCATTTCGTCTGTTGTTTAGGATGTGCGGCAAATCACTGAGGAGTGGAGCTTTGTACCTCGTGTGGTCAAGGAGCTTGCCATCTTTGATGGTAGTGAGCATGGCTCACTCACCAAGGAAGATCTTTTGAGAAAGGCCAAGGTCTGCAAACAAATATACAAGGATGAACTAAGCTGGTTAGATAGCGAGTGCTCATCAAAAAATAAAAAGCCAAAGACTGATGGAGGTGGAGAGGGCAACAAGGAGGGAACCAAAGCCCGGGATACAGCAGGATATGACAGCGATGAAACAATTGAGATGACAGAGGAAGAGATAGACCTTGCATACAAGAATTTTGCATCTGAAACTTTGTAAATGCCGTTTGTGTCAATGGACTGAAATACTGGTTTTATGATTGGCTTGTTTAAGGCATATGCATTACAGGTATAACAACATTGCTCATGAGAGAGAGAGAGAGAGAGACTGTTGCTATTGCTCTCTGAGCTTGCATATATATGCTTGCTTCTCCTTTCCTAATTATCCACATTTTGGAGTCAAAATGTTCTGGACTATCGGATGTATGCTTTCCCACTTTACAACTAACTCAGGCAATCGAGATTTTGTATTATTTATTTTGTATTACATTGAACCACGAATTCCCTACCATGTCCATGAACAGACCGTCAAATGCTTGATGAAGAATTTCTTTTGAACAGAAAAATAAGAACATCTTTTCCACTCCATTACCTATTTTTTTAATGCATAAGAATTGGACTCATTGGATTGCAGGTGTCAAGACAGTGCACATCCAGCGCTACAGTGCCGCCCATTGGGCTCGATAAAGACATTTCCAAAGGCAACATAAGAAAAACCTCAAATCTCGAGTGCCACTACAGTTGAATAAGGGAAGGTAAAATTAACAGATTACCAGTCTACAAGTAAATTTTGAAGGAGTTAGAAAGAGAAATGCTTCGTTATATTATTATATAGATTTTTATAATGCGATTCAGTTTAATCTTTTTCATTCGAGATTTGAAAGATGTATTCTTTTATATCTCAGTTTAATGGTTTTAAAATTTTATTTTTGAAATATTTTTTTTACAATGATTGAATCTAATTAATAAAAGAAAACATTGATTGAATTAATCTTGTGGGGATATATATATATATTATCTATATATTTTTATTCTTACAATTACTTGTAAAGCGTAAATTAACAAGAAAAAGTCAAAACATGTAATTTAACTCTAATTTAACCAATAGCACTGTTTAAATTTCTACTATTAAATTAAGATGATCACTAAATGATTTAATTACACAAATTACGCTCAGTGTATCAATGTCACTTGTGAATAAGAATAAAAACTCGGTAATCTTGAAGAGTGTGCGATTTTTTATCGAAGATTTGAAGTTTCTAAGTTATTGTACTTTGACCGTTTTGCAAATATTTATATTTAGAGATTAAATTCTAGCAGTTAAAGAGAGAGAAATATGATCAATTTTGAAAATATAATCATTATAGTTTGTAAATTTTATTTTTATGTTTCAACATTCAAATTTGGTAAGTAAAATATTTTAATGATTTAATGTAATTTTTATTTTATGTGTTTATGCAAGATTGATATTTGGATGACATGCATAAATCATTCGTCGTACGTTTAATCAAGTTTTTGAGTTTGGTTGAAATTTCTTGATCAACATTCAGATGCCACAAATATGACAACCGAATGCCTCCCTGTTCTTGCTAAGTTCATCGTTTAAAAAAAAAAGGGCATTTGTATGTCATGCATATGGATTCAAACCTCTCGAGCAATCATACGATACGTGTGAAAGAATATATCATAGACATTCATTGACTGCAATGGCTTGATTAATTGGAATAAAATATTAAAAATTTAAATAATTATTAAAATTTTGTTTTAAATTTTTTTTATCTTTTAATTTTTTAAATAAATTTAATATATATACATATATATATATATATATATATTATAACAACATATACAAATAAATTTGTCACATAAGCATTTATGTGAATAACTCTTTTAAATGACACATATGATAGTTTTTTAAAAAATAATATAATTTATTTTAATTATAAATTAAATAATTTAAAAATTACAAAAATTAAGCTTATTAAAATCTTTAAACAATATTTTTTATTTTTATTTAAAAAATTATCTTTTTAAAAAATTTACATACAAGTAATTTTATGTAAGATTTTGAAAATTCAAAAAATTTTCATCATAAATATTTAAATAATAAGTTATCAAAATGATTATATCAATTTGAACTGTAATTATTAAATTTATATATCAAAAAATTTAATATTATATTTATCACTTATTATATTCATTTTAAAATTTAAAAAATTAATTTAAAAATTATCTATTTAATCCTAATTGTCACTAAATAATTTTCTTATAATTTTAAGATTACAAATGTAATCTGTTATACATCAAATTTTTTTATTTTTTCAGTAACTTTTTAAAGGTATATTATATTATTATTGCAATTTATTTTTTTGTTTATAAATTTTTTAATATATATTTTATTATTATTACAGTTTCATTCATATGAAAAATAATATTTTTTACAATTTATTTTTTTCACATATTTGCTAACATTTTTCATATTTTGTATAATAAATTTGTCAAGATTACTAAAGTGAAAATGTGTTAATATTTTTTTATTATTTAATTTATCATTCAATAATATATATTTAAAAAAAGACATAATTTATTTTTATTTGATATAATTTTACAGATTTATAGATATTATTATAAAAAAAATATTCAAAGGAAAGACATGATTTTTTTTGTTGTTTTCAAAAAATTTATTTTTTAATGACAAGTCAATATATACAAATTTTATATATATTATAAATTTAAAAATTTAATATAATTTTTTTAAAAATTAATTTATATGTATTTATATTAAATAAATAAAATTATTTTGAGCAACGCATGAATTATAATCTAATTTTGTTCATAAGACAAACGATATCTTGAAATATTTAACTAAACTCATTAATTAATAACACAAAAAGATTTTGGGTATCATCATAATCGATATAAGTTCTACAAATTTTCATTTTTACATTAATTTTTTAAACATGAAAACGTTTTTTTTTAGGACAGAAGTGAGTACAATTGTGATTTACTTGAAAATTTTCAAGTATTGGTGCTTGCTTTAGTTATCTTGCATTAACGGTATGTATAAATAAAAAGCATAAAAAAAGTCATAGAAAAAAAATATAGCTTCACGACGACTGTTTTCATAAGTCTCCGACAATTTTATTCATTAATTTATTAATTTTCCCTTTTTTATCAGCAAGTGAGAAAAAAAAATTTATTTTTATTTTTCGAAATTACAAAAGGGCCCCCATAAAAGGGACAAAGACAAATGATCCCTTGCTATTTCTTTTTGTAATTTCAACGGACGATATATATTATTCAAATAATTAATTAATTATTATTTTTAGTTCTACTTTTATTTTTTAAGCATCTTGTTTTCACGGTAGGGTTGAAGAAGCAGATAGAACGCCACCTTTCTCTTTTCTCGTCTCTCTCTTGCAAACCCCTAACTCTCACATTCTCTCTCAATCTTTTCACTTCTCTTTAAACCCTGTTATTTTTTTATTTCGATTCTTATTTTTCTTGTAGAAGTTTCTAATTTTCGTCCGCGGAGAAAACAATGGGAGCTTCGTTGCCTCCGAAAGAAGCTAACCTGTTCAAACTCATCGTCGTAAGGCTTCGATTCTCTTTTCTCTCTTATGTTTCGATTCTATCTACTTATTTCTACTTAGTATTTGTAGTCGTATTGGATTTTTATTTCATTTTTATACGATCGCACTTCTTTTTCTTTTTGTTCTTTGCTTGCAAAACCCTAGCTGGATACTGGTCTGTTTGGTTGCTGAGAAAATCGGTGGATATCTAATGAGAAATTGAAATTTGGACTAGATATGCTTGTTTGTCAATTAGGTTTTTTTTTGGGGGGGGGGTAATTTTATGAATTAAGTTCGTTTTATTTTTCTGTTTAGCTATTGAAGCTTAAATAAGTTTATTGGCTTTGCTTAATTTAGGTCAATGAGTTCGATTTAGTTGAAAAGCAACTGTAAAAAATGGAATTTTGCTTTGAACTTTTTTGTTAAGCAAGGATGCTCTTCGTGCATTACATTGGTGATAATTCATTTGTATAATCTTGTAGAAAATTAGAGAAATCAAAATAAAAAGGTTTCATGACTCTTGCTATTAGTGATTTCTCTTGCGTGTTGTTAACTTTTTTTAAATTTGAATTTTGTTTGTTCCTAATGGGAAGCGATTGTGGCATTTTGGCTTTGACATATACAACCATTCAATGCATTAGAATGACCTTTGTGGAGAAATCTATTTAAAAATTTGATAATTTGGCCGAGCCGTTCTTAATGTAATTCTAGACTTCATAGGTTAAATTTGAATATTTACACATTTTAAGAACTTGTTAGTATTAGATATGGAATAGCAACATTTGAATGTTTTATACACACCGTTGAGAGTCCCTCCTCCTTTTTCTTTATTATTTATAATGAAAACTATAATTTTGACTGTTGAATTCTCACTTCTTTTTAGTTTCTATCATAAATAAACTCTTGACACGGTTATTTTTCCTTTTGGCCTGAATTTTATGTAACTAATTTTTATCTGTTATTATATTATAGCTAATTCTTATGACTGAATTTTTATATTATTGACTTGGAGGTTCATGTGCTATTGCTAAAGCTCTTTTATATTTTTTTCATTCTAGAAATCATATGAAACTAAACAGTACAAGAAAGGACTGAAGGCAGCAGATGCAATACTGAAAAAGTTTCCTGATCATGGAGGTAGTTTAATTTGATGCAAATTTTTTTTTTTTTTTGGCCAAGAGGCACTGATTGTTTAGTGTTTATGTAACATGGTCTTTTTAAATGTAATTGTGCAAAGGGGCAATAACTCTGAAACAAAAAGAACTTTATAGTTAGAAGAAAAGGGGTTATCACTAAATAGTTTGTGTTGATATCTGTGTTATTGGTTTGGATAATCTTTACAAAAATGCATCTGCACTTGACATGATTGTTTCTATGGATTCGTTTCTTATGTCTTGTTTGCTGTCAAAAGCACTAGCTGTCTAGTGACTTTTCCATGATGTATGAGAGATATTGCATTATTTTGGGGGTATATAACTGCATTTTATTAACTTATAACGTTTAAAATCTGTGATAGTTTAATAATTTCTTCATCTTGGTTGGTTTTTGTGGATATTCATTAATGTGTGGAATTGCTATAGTATCAGTAGTTCTCCCTCTCTGTGTTTTATGTAATATATCTGTCCTTTTAAATATGCGGTTTTGAAGTAGTACTTTATATTTTCTAGTAGCTGTTTGTTTATTGTTTTGTATATTGTTTTTATGGGCTTTTGTTCGTTGTTGTTAGAAACATTGTCGATGAAGGGGTTGACTTTAAATTGCATGGATCGTAAGTCTGAAGCATATGAACTCGTCCGGCTAGGTTTAAAGGTTCTCTTGTTTCTTTTCTTTCAACCTCTGTGATGTCAAAGCATTGTCATTTTTTCTTAACATTGTTTTCTTGTTTGTGTCTTAATTTAGAATGATGTAAAAAGTCACGTTTGCTGGCATGTTTATGGTCTCCTCTATCGGTCAGATAGAGAATATAGGGAGGCTATCAAATGCTATCGAAATGCTTTGAAAAGAGATCCGGACAACATTGAAATACTACGAGACTTGTCACTCTTGCAGGTATACCTTATTTACCTTCCTTGTTTGTGATTTGTGCTTCTAGACTCGGTATTTAATCTAAGATGTTCATCAATTGTATGCTTGATATTACGGAACACATGCTCACACAAGTTCCTA